GTCAATGAAAATTCACAGGTTGCAATGCAGTAATTTACATGGTCAGTTGTTCTTCAAAGTGTTCAATCATGGAATCTACTACCCTTGAGCATTTCATGCTCATCTGTTCAACTCTTTGCAACCTCTGCAGGTCTGCATCAGCTTTTTTCAGTTTGTCGGATGTTTCTGCCCAAGCAGTTCGGAATGGACGCTCGGCCTCGATTAGTTGTTGGATGGAAGGGTCAGGAAGACCTCCAGTACGGCGTTTGTAATCATGGAGTCGATCTGGACAGGATTGGTCTTCCAGAAAGATTAGCTCAAAGATAATTGCTCTGCTTTCAGATACTCACATTCTGGGTGTTGGTATTTTCCGAAAGGATGGAGCTCCTGGACCATCAACCATACATCCTCCATATCGAGCTCCGGCTGGTCTGCAGTGAGTTCGGTAGATGATTTGTCGGCTTGGGAGATAAGATCAGTCTCCATAATGGTCCAGAATGAATGGACCCACATGAAATAGACACCTCTGAGGTAGCTGGAGCAAAAGTGGGAGGATCAGCAGAGTCCAGCAACTCATCAACATCAATGACATCATCCTCAGGCCCGAGGTACAAGTCTGGATCAATGAGACAGCTGGCATCATCAGCTTGACCCGGATGTGATTGATCTTCAAGGGTGAAGTTAGCATGCATGGTGATCCCAGGTCATCAGTAATGTATAGTCATACCGGGTATTGCAGCCGACGCATCCGGGGGTCCGGATGACATAGAATCATATTCCATGTCATCATCTGGCCCGAGGTATAAGTCATCTAAGTCATCTAAGGGATACCCGGTGAATAGATAAGGCATGATAAGAATACAACATACCTAGTGATGCCCGGCCCATAGATGAGTCATCCACATCCATAGAATTATAGTCGGTCACCGGTGGGTCATTAATCTAACGGCTGGATGGGCACTCATGTGTGGAGAATTGGTGGACTGATTGACTGATGATCTAAAAAACTTCGAAGTTCAACACAAAGCTGGCAATTGCCGAAAGTTGAACAACGACCAAACAAACACAAACAATAAACGATTTTGTGGGATCGCCCATCAAATGTCTTGTTTGTTTGAAACTTCATCTTGCTGATAACTGATTTCAATCTGATTTCCAGATCTTTAAATCTCTCAACCCACTCATCATGTCCACTCCAGTTGACAAACTCTTTGACCCATCTCAAGGCATCCGCTGCCCAGATCATGGCCATCATCAGTGCCGCCCGGCAGATTCCCCCGGGTCCCCGCCACTTGGCTTTGGGAAAACAGGTTGCTACACTTGTGGTATGTATTTTGTTTGGGTGCTTTTTCTTCTCTAACATCTTGGTAGTCTGATGTAGCCAAGGAGTATGGGTCCGGGGATGGTCCTATTCCCGGCCTCATCATTTCGTGCTCCAAAGAGCTCCAGCGCATCCGCAACATGGTTCCCAAGGTCTGGCCAGACTGGCACTCCATCGGGTATGACGATCCTCACATTCTGAGGCACGCCTGGTACCCCAAGGTCCTCGCCTGGAACGCCTTAGGCGACCAGACCTTCGATCTCCCAACTGCTGCCCCCCCATCCACAGGTCCGATTCCTGTCAACCTTCCCTCCCCAGCCATCCCTGCCGGCAATGTCGCCGGCCCTTCCACCAACCCCACCACCGAGTCCCGGGACAAGGGGAAAGGTAAGGCCGTCTTCGCTGACCCAGACCCCGAGGCAGAAGGGAGTAAGAAGAGGAAGTCCCCCTTGATTTCTGGACCCTCCTCCCAACCCCCGAAATCCGCGATGAAGAGTCACAAGCGTCAGAGGTCTGCTCGTGTTGTGAAGTCCAAGGCCATCGTGGAGTCGGAAGATGATGAAGACTCGGTTATGCAGGTATGTCGTCTTGTTCATTTTTCATTGTCTCTCATTTTCGTGTAGCCACCTTTGGGTGGAGTGCCGAGGTCGTCCTTCCCTGGCTCTCCACAATTGTCGCAAGGACGCCTGATTCACCTCGCTCGCCCCGGGTACCCAAGAAGAAGCCCTTTGGCCCTGCCACAGTAAGTGTCATTTATGCATCCGGGACTCGGGTGTGTGCTTACATTATACCAGGTGATTGCCAGGCAGTCACACAGCAGTTGTGGAGCCCTCCCAGCCCACTCCCGAACCTCCGGTGCAGGCACCCCCAGTCATCCCTGCAGTTGACATTCTCATTCCCGGACCGGTGAGTACTTTGAAATATCTCATGTGTCCATACACAAATACAACCAACAGAACAACCCATGCTATGCTTGCCACAAGCACAAACTGGCCTTGCGCAACTCGGCCGGACAAAAGGACCGGGGCTCCATGTATGTCGTGCGTCTACTGCACAACAAAGAAGATCAAGTGCACCCCGGCGACTATGGGATCCCCGCCTCCTTGCGATCATTCTTCCTCTACTACCCGGGAGACGAGGTCCAGAACACCATCCAGGGCTTCCTCCAAGACTCCCTCCAAGGCTCCCCCCGCATCCAAAACTCCCGCCCCCTCCAAAGCTTCCCCTGCCTCCCAGTCCAGGGCCCGAACTCGCAGTCAGTCTCGTGGCCGGGCCGGAACTTCTGGTGTCACTGCTGTGACCACTCCCAAGACCCAGACGCGTGGTCGCAGCAAGACTATCACTGCCATCAAGGCACCTGCACCTGCACCTGCACCTGCATCTGCACCAGCTCGTAAGTCACCCGAGTTTTTCATCACTGTCTGACCTTCATTTTCCCTTGTAGCCCTTCTGTCTTCCAGGTTGGCAGTCCCTGCTGCAGCACTTGGGGTGCCCATGCCAGATCTCCATGCCATGTCCATTGCGATTCGAGATGGCGCAGCTCAAATTGCTCTTCTGGAGGCTCGTGTGGCAGAGCAGGATGGTAAGATTGACACCCTGCAACGCCTTCATGAAGGCCTTAGGCGCGAAATCATCGACCGGCACCCCTCATTCCCACTTCCCGACACTCCTGCCCCTGCAACATCCTTGTTGCTTGATCAATCCGGCCCCCGCACCATGTCACCCCCAGAATCCGCACTCCCTCCTCTGATTGATCTCAGTATGGAAACAATGGCTCCCACACCCGCAGCCCCGACATTCCCGGATGCCTCTGCCATTGAGGGTCTCCTGTTTGACTACAACCAAGTTGTTCATCCAGAGGATCCAGATGCATCCGGCGAAATTGTGGACCCAGGTGATCCAAGCAACCTTGTCCCAGAATATGACTCTTCCAGCAACATGGATGTTGAGGTGGAGGTGAAGGTTGACATGGCTACATAATTGCATAGTGATAGATGTATTTACAAGTTTTCAATGAATGTAACCTCTGCCAGTCCATGTATTGAGTCACTGAGTTCCGAGTCCCGAGTCCCGGAATTCGGCACTCGGGACTTGAGACGACAGATTTGAAACTTGAAACTTGGAACTCGAAAGCACTCGAATCTTGGGTCTCGGTACTTGGTATTCGGTACTCGACACGATGCTCGAAACTCGTAGAACTGTTTCGAATCACCGAGTACTGACTACCGAGTGCCGAGACCCGAGATTTGGTACTCGGGACTCGGTACTCGACACGATGCTCGAAACTCATAAAACTGTTTTCGAATCACCGAGTACTGACTACCGAGTACCGAGTACCAAATCTCGGTTCTCGGTACTCGGTATTCGGTACTCGACACGATGCTCGAAACTCGTAAAACTGTTTCGAATCACCGAGTACTGAATCTCGGGTCTCGGCACTCAGTAGTCAGTACTCGGTGATTCGAAACAGTTTTACGAGTTTTGAGCATCGTGTCAAGTACCGAATACCGAGTACTGAGACCTGAGATTTGGTACTCGGTACTTGGTAGTCAGTACTCGGTGATTCGAAACAGTTTTACGAGTTTTGAGCATCGTGTCGAATACCGAATACCGAGTACCGAGACCCGAGATTCAGTACTCGGTACTTGGTATTCGGTAGTCAGTACTTTCGAGTTTCGAATTTTGAGTTTTGTTTCCAATCTTTTGTCTCGCATGCCGAGTGCCGAATTCCAGGTGTCGGGTGTCAGTACTCGGTTCTCAGTACTCGGTACTCGGTGATTCGAGTCTCGAGACTTGTGACTTGTGATTTACAAATCGACATTTGAAACTTGTGATTTCTGAGAACAATGTGTATTATCTTATGTATTTCTGTACTCATTTCACCGACTACCGAGTGCCGAATCTCGGGTCTCGGGTCTCGGTATTTCAAGACAACAAAAATGTATATCATCTTAAATTTGAATTTTCTTAACTCGAGACTCGATACTCGTAAAAATGTACAATACCTAGGCCTATCTGTCTATATGATATGTATCTGGGCCCACCCGTCTATCTAATATTACCCGACGTTGGCCCACCCATCTATGTAGAATTCCCCACGTCGGCCCACCCGTCTATCTAATATGACCCCACGTCGGCCCACCCGTCTATGTAATAAATAATTCCGCTCACCCTCGGCCCACCCGTCTATCTAATATTACCCGACGTCGGCCCACCCATCTATGTAGAATTCCCCACGTCGGCCCACCCATCTATCTAATATGACCCCACGTCGGCCCACCCGTCTATGTAATAAATAATTCCGCTCACCCTCGGCCCACCCGTCTATCTAATATTACCCGACGTCGGCCCACCCATCTATGTAGAATTCCCCACGTCGGCCCACCCATCTATCTAATATGACCCCACGTCGGCCCACCCGTCTATGTAATAAATAATTCCGCTCACCCTCGGCCCACCTGTCTATCTAATATTACCCGACGTCGGCCCACCCATCTATCTAATAAATAACTCACCTCACCCTCAGCCCACCCGTCTATCTAATAAATAATTCCCCTCACCCTCGGCCCACCCGTCTATCTGATATTACCCCCACGTCGGCTCACCCGTCTATCTAATAAATATTTCACCGCTCCCTCGGCCCATCCATCTACAAAATAATACTAATACGTCGGCCCACACGTCTATATAATACTATTTGCTATACATCTCTCCTCAGGTCTATAATATATGTCAATCCTACTCTACATATTACCCACATGGGCCCACCCATCTCCATAATAATATTTCTCCCGGCCCATCCGCTATCGTCGATGATATATATAACATCAGCATAGATGGGCCCACCCGTCTCCATCGGAAATAATATGCCTCCCGGCCCACCTGTCAACATCGGGAATATACATAACATTGGCCCATAATCCGCTGGCCTGTATTACATGGGATATTATGTAGGTCGGGTGACCCGTATAATACAGGATTTGTCACTGAAGGGGCTCTGGACTTGCGCATCTGTTTATGACTCTGTGTGCTGTCACCCTCATCATCTGAGGGTGGCAGCCGCACACGCTTCAAGTGGTGCAAATCTACAAGATCAATCAGCTGCCATTCGAGTGTATGATACTGAACCACTCACCCTCATAGTTGTTACCCTCACCATGGTATGTCTCTCCACCGGTGAACACATCATCTTCGTCGTTGTCAAACTGCCCGCCATCGTCATTTTGCTCGCCATTGGTCAAGTCTATGTTGTCACCTATGGACCCATTGGACTGCACCCGTCGAAGTTGGATGAGCTCGTTGGCATGTGCCACTGTCAGCTTCTGTGGCGCAGGTGGGAGCTTCAACATAATGATCAATGCCCTAAAATTGAGGCAAAGGCAATGAGACTTACACTGAGACCATTGGACCTCTGTTCACAATCGCCAAAACCAGACTCCTTAAAAACAAGGCATCAATGTCAAATATATGTTATAACATGCGGCTGACTCACCTTTGTAAGAGGGTCTTCCTGCCAGCCCCCAGACACAGACGTTCTGGACAGAGCTGGTGTATGTACCTGTGTGATGTGTTTTGGCTGTGGGGTGTACTTTTCTCGTGGGGGGACCTTGCTGAACTGGGGACGCAGATCTAGTGGACTGTTGGATGGTACACTACCTCTGGACAGGGCGATAGCCCAGACCCTTCAGTCATTTCCAACATAGAACCTTGGCTCTGGACATGCCAAAAGGCTGTAGAATCCATGCCAGCCAACCACCGGCCGGTGCACCTCAAACCAGTGCTGGCCAGTCTATCTAGGACTAGTGTTAGCTAGTATATTACAGCCAGGATAGATTATTGACTACATGTAGGACCAGTGCTGGCCAGGTTATACACTTGAATAGTGCTAGCATGGCCAGCTTGACTATGTAATAAGTAGCATTCAGGCTGGCCAGCTTATATACTTGAATATTCCTAGCATAGTATAGTAGTGCTAGCATGGCCAGTTTGACTATGTGATATGTAGAATTCAGGCTGGCCAGTATACATACTTGAATATTCCTAGTATATATACTTGATATTTTCTGGGATGGCCAGCTTGAGTATGTGACATGTAGCATTAAGGCTGGTCAAGGTATACTTCAATATTCTGCCATGGCCAGCTTAACTATATGACATGTAGCATTGAAGCTGGCCAGTTGTATACACTTGATGAATATTCCTAGCACAGCCAGCTTAACTACATGATACAGTATTGAGGCAGATATTGCTATTATGGCCAGCTCAACTATATGACATGTAGAATTGGAGCTGGCCAGACTATACTTAGATATTTCTAAGCATGGCCAGCCTGACTATATGATACATAGTACTGTGGCTGGCCAGCCTATACTTAAACATTGCTATCATGGCCAGCTTGACTAGTACTGTGGCTGGCCAGCCTATACTTAAATATTGCTATCATGGCCAGCCTGACTATATGACATGTAGTACTGTGGCTGGCCAGCCTATACTTAAATATTACTAGCATGGCCAGCTTGACTATATGACATGTAGTACTGTAGCTGGCCAGACTATACTCAAATATTTCTAGTATGGCCAGCCTCACTATATGACATGTAGTACTGTGGCTGGCCAGACAATATTTAAATATTGCTATCATTTGCTAGTCGAACTATAGAGTAGATCTAGCCAACTTGCCTTAAGGTGACATACAAATGTGATGACCAGCATATCATGTATTCAATAAACTCTGAAGACAATCAACAAATATTTCACTAAAGGATAAGCTATATACAGTAGTCCATTAAGGCCTCATATTCTTCTTAGAGGGTTGCCTAGTTCTGGTAGACTGACGCATAGGTTCATCTTCAGTCCTTGCCTTCTTAGTCTTCACTTGAGAAGTCTGAGATCTGGTCCTTTTCTTACCTTTCTGTTTGCCCTCCTGCTCATGATCCTTCTCCACCTCCTGCATCTGCACATCCACATCTCCCATCACCACCTCTTGCTCGTCTTCCTGATCCTTCTCACCATTAGCTTCTTGCATCTCCTCCTCCTGATCACTATTGTCGGGGAGACCAGCCCTCATAGCCAACTCAATGAGACCCACAACAGTACCTGCGACATGACTGATTGCACTGTCCACCTTTAGGATGATTTGAAGGTCCAAGACTGAAATGGGCAAGTAGTAGGGGGCATCAGGGTGGGCCTCGTCTTCTGCATACTCCATGACACACTGTAGAGACTCGTGTTTCTGCAGGCACATATGGGCACATTTCGCACCTTTTCACAACTCATGACAATTGGCCTTCAATGCACGACTTGCACCATCAGCTATATTCGACTTCTATCATGTCTCTAGTCGTTTTACACATAACGCGCAGCTTTCCCGCGAAACGCGCCATAGGCGCGGTACTTTCCTGCACAATGCGCAGCATTCCCACATGCGCACCTTGCGCGCTTTCTCGCGCTTAAGCGCCCTGCAAGTGCCCTGCATCACCCTGCATCGCCTATCATCCAGGAACGTCCCTCTATGTCCATCCACCTCATTGGTACGTCATATCCCTTGCCTCGTGGTTTGTAACAAGCATTGCAGTGCTATTACATGTCATTACGTATTCATAGCACTTATTGCTCCTATCCCTTCCGCTTCCGATGCGATCTCCATAGTATAAAGTTTGCTGACTTACGACTCCATCATGATTACTCCCCTTTGCTGTACTTCCCTCGCTATTGGGTTTTACTTTAAAGTAGTAGTCACCACTTGGGGGCACTTTGTGTTTCCAATGGTTATCGTTATCCGCCTATACTAGACCTTTATCCGCGCTCATTATAACACTCGCTCTGCATTTGCACTCGCTTTGCACATCCGCTTCCTTATCTGTTTCCTTATCTGGTATTTTCTGCACAACGCGCGCCTTAGCGCTCATGTTCCCACGCTCGCGCTTACCTTAGTGCGCTCTCTCGCGCTTCGCGCTCACTTCGCTTTTCTTCTTGCACTTTTGCGCATCCATCGCACTTCAAGGGTCTTTCTTTCATCTGGTTCTGTGTTCAGTAGCAGTCCCCTTTAGGGTCGAACGTTCTTGCATTCTGCGAGTATAGCAGCTAGGCAGAGCCAAGACTCACTTATACTGGTTGAGCATTTTTAGACAATTCATATCAGCCCAGCCAGGTTGAGATCGCCTCAGCGCTTGCAGTCCCTCGAAAGCAATCCAAGGCCTAAGACCACTAGGGCAGCTGAGTATGCAGATTGAATTGGGGCCTCTGTCAGCAGGTCCAAGCTGCCTATCACTGAATCCAGGTACATGTGTTCAGATGCAGGAAGATAAGACTCTTTTGAAGACCAATTAACCCAGGGAGGTAGGTCGAGTTGCTCCTCTGGTGTTGGCTAGTGAATGGTGTTAGGATCAATATATATCTAAGATTAAATAAACACTTACAAGGTTTTCAGTTATTGTAGCCAGATCCTTGACTGCATCTACAAGCTCTAGGTAAGACCTATCCAAGCTGAGAGCATCTAAAAATTCAAAGCGGTGACCTCGAGGCACCTCAGCTGGCGATGATACAGCCAATGTAGTATCCAATCCAGCTGAACTATGCTGTTCATCAGCTTCAGAGCCAACCTCAATATATGGCTTGTCCTTCTTGGAACTAGCTTTGACATTGGCGCTGTTCACCGCATTAATTCTCATGTCACATGACCTTGCCTTTGTGAAAGTGACAAGTCTCTTCTGTGCCATGCTACGCCTCTCCCAATAATGCCAGATTGTGTTGATGTCCTTGGCTCTCATGTGAGAGGGGTCACAGATAATAAGGTCGTCAGGAACAGAACCAGCCTCCAGATACTCAGATGGACAAGGTGTTATGGAGCGCCAAGGCACAGGTTTATGGCTACCTGTGAAAACTTCTACAAAAGCTCATTGAATTAGCAAGCGTATAGAATACATGACATAGATACTTACTGTATGCAGCATGAAAAATCATGCGGACCAGTTCTTGTTGATTCTTGAGCGTGACACCCTCACGAGAAGGAAGTTGTGCATAGCCTTCTTCGTCAAAGATGACTGTTGGTAGTTCATGTTCATCCTCTTCTTCATTGCCTGGAGTAGCTGTTGGGTCTATTAATTATGGTCAACTAGTGTTCATAAAATGAAGAATTAATACACATACAAAATTCCGTCTTTGCCCACTCTCCAAAAAAACTCAAAGCCATTTGAAGCCCACTCTTTGATACCGTCTGAGCTGACAGAGAAGCTTTTTTTTGACATTCTGAGGCACAGATTCATGTCTGGAGGGGGTTGTAGTTTGTTAGTTTAAATATTTATAGATGACCTGAATACACACAAGGTGACATTCAATGTCTGGTCCACCCGCTTCTTGTGACTGACAAGCATCACAACATGGCAACCCATACTTCAACGAAGCTGCTCAGAAAATTCTTCAAGCACTTTCTTGAGGTTGTTCTTGTGGTAACTGCAAGCTGACATTAGACTTGAAACCGCACAAAAAATTCACTAAGCTCACATAACCTGACTTTCTTCAGGTGCCCCCTCCTTGTTCCACTTCTCTCGTGCATACTCAACTTGTTTCTTCTGTGCAGGTGTCATTTTGTTGAACCATTCTTGTGCATGACGAGTCCGAAACTTGATAGGATCCTTGTCACCTTTTCTTGCTTGCTCTGCCTTGTCAAATTCATCGATCTGTTGTTTGAACAATTTCTGAGCAACATCCCAGTCAGTCAGCTTTTTCTTATAGAATGAAGCTTCCTTTGGACGGGCACTGATCTCCCTTTCCTTTGTAGCTTCTTCCCCATCAGATTCTTCATCTTCAACTTCATCTGCATAGTATTGTTTAATTGCCTGCAAGTAGCATAGCATTAGACTAGTCAAATATTTTATTTGTGCAAATCACACCTTCTTCAAGGAACTCGGCAAAGTAACTTTTGATCCTTGTTCCTTGTGAGCTGCAACTATGGCCTTGCGGATTTTCTTGATCACACGAGACCGATTCTGACTTTGAATGTTTCGCAGCCAAAAAGTCAGTTCTATAACTGACAAGAATAGCCTTGAAGCTTTGTGTCCAGTCTGAAGACATAGATATATGAGCAGGAGATATGATTTTAAAATGTAATGCTAAGGTCGAACAGTACAGATAGTCTCTGTGTGGCCGGCTGATAATCTCAACAATCAGTCACATGATTGTAATCAACGTGTCATGTAGGTCATGTGACCATGTTTGAGATCAATGGACCACATTTATATTCAAACACACAAACACCTGATTTCAGACTTATGAGCAGGGAACTGTGTCATAAATTCAAGGTGAAGTATCTAGGTACCCTAAAAATTGAGATACATATCAAGGCAAAGTATATCAAGGCAAAGTATCTAGGTACTCTAAAAATTGACATACTCATACTGGAATTTCAATCCAGCAGGTGATGCGAGTTTTGCCTGGAGTAAGGACCCTTGAGTGAGTAGGTGGGCTAAAGGTAAAGCTCTTCCTGCATCCAACACCCTTACACTCAAATATGTATATCTTAGCATGGTTAGCAGAACTCCAAGCATCTACCAGACCACATTCAGGGCATTGAAGTGGCAGGAAGTCCCCCCAGGGGCGCAGCTGTGAGTGAGTCCAGGAGTATTTGAAAACGCCAAGGGAGTTGCTACTTTTTACCAGCAAAAAGACATCTGAATGGCGGCCTAGCATGTAGGACTGCCCAAGCATGTCAGGGAAAGCGTCGCGCATGGAGAGACGTTGGATGAGGACCAGGTCACTGAAGGCAAGCAAGAAATGGGCGGCAAAATTTGGTTGGAACTGGACTGCATTTAAGGCGACAGCTGCAGAAAGACCATGACTATTTGTGTCAAATTAGTACCAGCTATGAGTCACAAAACTAATGTACTTACCGGGCGACTGAAACGCGCAACTTAGAAAATGACTCAGCGTTGTTGACAAGCGCACCACAGGAGAAGAACCACAGGAATGACTCAGCCGCATGATCAACGAGGACCTGCCAAGGCGCAAGGATAATGTCCAAAAACTATAACAATTGAGACAAATTATTCAAATTAAAAGAGAAAACACTCACATTGTCAACCGGAGTGGCGACATATTTATTTTTGTCATAGCCTACAAACGGGTCTCCATGTGTGTTGTTGGTGTGGTTGGATATACCAAACACAACACGCTTCCAGTTGTTAGTTGATAGGGTGCGCACCAAATTGTCGACGCTTGCTTGGTATGTCTTGACCTTAGAGACTGTACCAACATCAAACATTACCTCCTGGTACACTAAGCCGCCGTTGGGAAATAAGGCTTCAAAAAATGGTAGGCCAGTTCGAATGCCCCTCCCGCAGTATCGTAATCTGTCAGGATGAGATGAACAAAGAGCAGGGACTCAGAGGAGATTTGCGCCCGGACAGATAATTCGAGGGTGGCACAGATTGGGAGGAAGGTGTCGAGTAGCAGCTTCTGGTTTCTATAGAAGCCCTGTAGTTGTATTGCATATCAACAAATATTGAAAAGAGCTAGAAACTTACATGGTATACTGACAAGCTACCGTCAGGTCGGCGTTGTCTTGAGATGTGACAGCAGATGCACCGGAAGGTCACATGTGGTGACATGATGGCCTGTGTGAAGGCTGGGGGCACCATGACGCAATTGGCTGCAGACGACACGTGGACATTCGTCGCACAAGAGGAGATAGTCGTCCTCAACAGAACCGTCCCTGCAAATGATACAGAACTACAATAATTGATGGCCGGTTAGTCAAAAATTCAGCTGAAGCGAAAGAAAGACTCACCTCATTGTGTTTGAACCCCTCGCATACTGCTAACCCCGGCTCCATCACAACCGACGTGTTGCTGGCACCGTCTAAGTCCAGGTTGACGCGAGCCACCGAGCTGCCGGTGGCCTTTTTGCTGTATTCTTGGTGCGGGCCATCTAACATGTGAGAAGGGTGAACTGAGACGTGGACAGAAATTGGTGGACTCAGAGGCGCTCAACAAGAGAAGACTTACATGCCACGAAGTGTGGGAACTGATAGCAGCTGTGGTAGTCAATGAACTAAGTGGTGGACTAAGACACACTCAACAAAAGTAGACTTACATGTTATGGACTGGCAAACGGCACCAGAACAGATAGCGACTGTGGTTCTCGATGAGCTAAGACACGTCCAAAAATAGTAGTTAGTAGTCTAAAATGTGTCCCAAATGTGAACTTACATACCTGTGTCCCAGCAAAAGGCGTTGGAACAGAAACCGCTGAGAATTGACAATGAAAAGAATTAGTTGATAGACAAAGACATATCTAAAACTCTAGACTTACATACACACTTGAAGCGGCACAGAGACAATGTCAGGTAACAGAAACAATGTGGTTGAGGACGAAACTTACAAGTTCAACAAACAAACAAACATTACATAAGCTTGCCGGTTGGTACAAACAAACAAACATTGTGGCTCTTGGGACAAACACTCACAAACTGACATGTTTATCTACTCTAAGTTCAACTTCCCACGGTTCATCTTTCCTTCCTCCTTTCCCTTTCTTCACCGCTTGCACCCCTCCCTTTACACTGTCAGCCTGTCAGCCATTTTGGCGACCTAAGGCTATCTTTGGATCATTGCAGGGGCTGCAGCCCTGCAATGATCCAAAGACTCTGCCTTACAGTTGCCAATACTTGAGCTAAGTGGTGTTCTTATCTGCTCTCACTTACTGAATTTGTTTGTTCTTTTTTCAATAGCATCTTTTGTTTGAGTCCTGCGGTTGGCACGGTGCATGCTCTTTTTTGTGGCACACCCACTTACTGATTTTGTTTTTTCATAGTGTCTTTTGTTTGGATCTGGGAGTTGGCGCGCTACCTTGCTGCCATTCCCAATTACTAACTCTAGTTTGTCCATTCTCTTTCCTCTTAGTTTACTAACATTATTTGTTCTTTTTCAGCAGCGCCTTTTGTTGGGATCTGGGGGTTAGCGCAGTGCATGCTACTTAGTGTAGCTCCTGCCTTTGGGATCTGGGGACTTGGTGCAGTGCATGCTACTTAGTGTAGCTCCTGCCTTTGGGATCTGGGGGTTGGCACGGTGCATGCTACTTAGTGTAGCTCCCGCCTTTAGTTATTTTTCATACTGACCGGTTCACTCTAGGACTTTTGTTAGCGCCACAACCTTACATGTGTAAGTAGCGCCCTTCATAATCAATGTTACTGACCAGTTCACTACAGGACTTTTTTGATAGTGCCGCAATCTTATATGGGTAGGTGGTGCCCTTCCTAACTTCTCTTACTGACCCGCCTTTAGTTATTTTCTTACTGACCGGTTCACCCCAGGACTTTTGTTAGTGCCGCAACCATATATGTGTAGGAGGCGCCCTTCCTAATCAATGTTTCTGACCAGTTCACCACAGGACTTTTTTGATAGCACCACAATCTTATATGGGTAGGTGGTGCCCTTCCTAGCTTCTCTTACTGACCAGTTCCCACAGGACTTTTTTTGTTAGAGGCGCAAATTTAATATGGGCAGGTGGGGCGCCCTTCATATGGGTAGGCGGCATCCTTCCTAACTTCTCTTACTGACCAGTTCTCAGGACTTTTTTTTGATTACCGGCACAATTTTCTATGGGTAGGTGGGGTGGCTTTCATAATGTCCCTTACTGACCAGTTCGCCACAGGACCTTTCTCCTCAATACTCTTTCTGAAAGCTAAGTGTCGAACTATGTTTCAGTGCATCATCTAACATGTTCACAGGATTTTTCGAGTTGTATCTTCTTTTTTTATTACCTACTTTTCTATTGGAGGCAAGACTTGGGTGAGGAGGGCCCCCTCACCCACGTCTTGTATCTCCCCTTTGATTTGTTGAACTTGTAGTTGAATAAATTTGTAATACATTTAATTGTACTTTATTTATTGTGTCAAATGTATCAGCGGTAGTCATTTTTCTTTGCCAGCTGCAAAAGTCACGTGACTGTGTGAATAATTAGTCAGCGAGACTGGTGTGAGATATTGATCAGTTGGTGACTATACTAACTAACTAGTTTGAGTTGTAGTGTATGCTGATATTCGCTCCTTCCATGGTGAATGTAAACCGCATTTGCTTAATGGTGGAGGGTTTGCTGTCCTGGGTGTAAAGGAGGGAATCAACCCACCACCATTAAGCAAATGCAATTTACATTCAGTCAGGGGACGGCCACCACCATTAAGCCAATGTTGTTTACATCTAGGGGACGTCCACTACCCGCACGATTAAGTGAATGCAATTTACATTCAGCATTGGTGTCCCCTGAATGTAAACTGCATTTGTTTTGCCGCTCCACTATTAAGCAAATGCAGTTTACATTCAGTCAAGTGTAAACTGCATTTGTTTTGCCGCCCCACCATTAAGCGAATGCAGTTTACATTCAGTCAGGGGGACGACCACCACCATTAAGCGAATGCAGTTTACATTCAGGGGGTGCCAATACTGAATGTAAACTGCATTCACTTAATGTCGCTGCTATAGTGCTGAATGTAAACTGCATTTGTTTTGCCGCCCCACCATTACGCGAATGCAGTTTACATTCAGTCAGGAGACAGCCAGCACCATTAAGCGAATGCAGTTTACATTCAGCATTGGTGTCCCCTGAATGTAAACTGCATTAGCTTAATGGCGGAGCTATAGTGCTGAATGTAAACTGCATTTGCTTAATAGTGGCGGCCGTCCCCTGACTGAATGTAAACTGCATTGGTGTCTCCGCTCCACCATTAAGCAAATACAGTTTACATTCAGGGGACACCAATGCTGAATGTAAACTGCATTCGCTTAATGGTGCTGGCCGTCCCCTGACTGAATGTAAACTGCATTCGCTTAATGGTGGAGCAGTGACACCAATGCAGTTTACATTCAGCACTATAGCACCGCCATTAAGCGAATGCAGTTTACATTCAGTATTGGCACCCCCTGAATGTAAACTGCATTCGCTTAATAGTGGAGCAGTGATACCAATGCAGTTTACATTCAGCATTGATGTCTCTCAAATGTAAACTGCATTCACTTAATAACATGGGGTTACCAACCAGTATAGTAGCAACTCGCCCCCCCCTCAGAACTAGGACATGGTACTTAGTGGTACTTTCTCTCTGTTCCTGCACACATAGTAAGTATTGGTACCAAATACTATATATCAAATATGACAGTCGAGATCAGATTGAATTATGTAAGACACAGATCAAATTGGGAAATTCAAATGATTAGTAAGCTCAGGTGGTTCGAATCAAGTGTAAAATTTTTACACACTTCAGGTTGCCATGTCAAGTGCAAATGGCACTGAGTCAACGGCATTACATCAATTTCTCACTTCAAAGATGCATGAAATAATGAATTTGGATCCTTGTGCACCACCAGTCATCAAAGATGGTGTACTCCAGTCACATCTCTTGCAAAAAACTAGGCATGTACTTATTCCAATGTTTCAACACTATCTCACTTAGTAGTCTAGGTTGAGATTGCATTTGAGACTCAATGCTTGTAGGTTAAATGAACCAACAACCAATAATGGTTCAACTTCCTTAATTTCCAACTATGAAATTGAGCGCACTGCCCTCACTATCACCCATGCAATTGTGAACCCTTGTATGTAATCACTTTCAGTATTTCATATTGACTTATGTGTGTGAGAATAGACTATGTTCCATGGGACATTGATCGGTATGCAGAGATGGTCAAATGTTCACCTGTTCAGTCCAATGGAGAAACAGAATGTGCTAAGCTTGAAAAATATTTTGCCACCACTGTGATGGGTAAAATTTCTGAGCTGGCTACAATTGTTGACTGCAATGGAAAGATTTTGGTTTGGTTCCTACCTGACATTCTATCCCCTTTACATATTGTAAGCTTCTAAATTAACATCATGTGTCAGTGGTTAACTAACTATCAGAACTTTATCAATACCGCCACCTTGGGCCTTCGGAAGCTTCTGCTTGAGACAATTCCCAGTGGATCAGATACTGAGGCTAAGTCTTCATGGCGCTCACATGACTTCCTGGTGCCAGAGGGTGGGGGGACATTTGGGGCAGGTCGAGTCACTGTGGCTCCTTCTTATTTCATGCAACAACATGAGGTAATTTGCTTTACAACAGTGTTGTTATCAAGAATCTGACAGTAATTAATTAATTCAGAGGCTTGTGGATCCATTAGTAACATCAACAATGTACTCCACTGAACCAGTCCAAAAGTGGCTAGAGGACATGTCAAGCACAGAATATTTCTGGAATGCGATAACCGCTGTCATAGCACCTGACCTATTTCAGGCAGGGAGTGCTGCCCTCTCAAAGGTATTAGGCCAAACTAGGCCAACTCGAAAATCGGTTCCAACATCTCGGTGGCCCTCCATTTTTTTCAGGATTGGAACTCATTGTGAATCATATGACTTTGAGTCATCGCGATCCTGGTGGAGCTCCGTCCCATTATGACATACTTGTTAGTTTGGGCATCGCACATGAGGCTATGTTTGTTATTGAAGATATAGGTGCGGAATTGGTATATTCCCCTGGAACAATGGTCTATATTGCTGGAAAGGTGAGAATTTATTATTTGTTCTCCCACAACAACTTATTTTGATCTGGGAAGGTTTTGAAGCACTCAGTTAGTCATTGGAAAATAGGAGAATGATTTGTCATTGCACATTTCATGAAGAATAAGGTACATAATAGGGTAGGGGTTTCTAGGCCTGCATTTCCACTTCAGATGGATTTTTTGCGCTTATTGGGAATGGATCAGAGGGTCAAGCGGCCGAAGAAGAGATTGAGGACAAACTAGTCAAGAAATAGTGGAGGTTAATCTGGTATACTGGACATTGGTGATGATGGTCTAGGCTGTTTGGTACCTTTGACTAATTAGGCTGGTACATAGTGACCGTCTATCTAGTGAACTTTGACAATTTTTCACAATACTATATGATATTATCCTCTCATGTCACACCAGAGAAAAAGTCGTCTCAAGTCTCGATCTTTCTCCTACAAAGAAAGGGGTCGATTATCTGAAAGAAAGGACCTGGATGTTGCATATGTCACTCACCAAAAACGAGAAGGAAAAAAGAGGAAGACCTTATGGGTCGAGGCTTCTGCTGATCCCTCATATGAGATTTTGCAAGAAGAGTCGTCATCAAATCCTCTAGCCCATGGAAAATGAAGAAAATCAACCCTGAAGAACCGGAGAGGATTCCGGAAGACTTTAACAGAGAGCTTTATGGTGATTTTAGCTCACCAAATATAAGACGACAAACCAAGGCAGGTCATCTAACAAACGATATAAGGCACTGCTTACTAGGTTGAAATAAAGACTCAAAATAACTTCATTGAAGATTATATCGTTTTTCGCCAATTGTACTTGGACATCATCCTGGAGTCCGAAAATATCATCAATGAGGGAATCTGCCAGTCTTGCCCAAGCAGAGAAGGATTCTTCCGGTGCCTGACTTGCAGTGGTGAACATGGATGGTGCCATACCTGTGTCCTCAAAGCCCATCAATCATTACCATTTCATAAACTACAACTGTGGAATGGAACATGCTTTCAAGATACATCGCTTTCAGAGCTTGGGTATATTTGGCATATGGGTCATGGGGATCACCCATGTCCATTCTCTCAAGATGTCACACAGGAATGGGAGGATGTTAATGAGAATATAGATGAGAGTGAAAAGTATGCTGGAGTTGAGACAGTTGTAGGTCCAGCTCTGAGGACCACTGCCCTGACTATCGTGCACTCCACAGGAGTATTCATACACAACGTGCAGTGGTGTCATTGCCCTGAATCCTCTGTCCATCAACAGCACCTTCATTTGCTCAAAGCACAGCTGTTTCCTGCCAGTACAACCCGTCCTCAAACTGCCTTTACCTTTGAGGTCCTGGACCATTTCCTCATAGATGCCCTGGAATGCAAAACTTCTGCCATGAGCTTCTTTCAAAAGCTTTGTCAGTGAGGCGATCTCAACCTGGCTGGGCTGATATGAATTGTCTAAAAATGCTCAACCAGTATAAGTGAGTCTTGGCTCTGCCTAGCTGCTATACTCGCAGAATGCAAGAACGTTCGACCCTAAAGGGGACTGCTACTGAACACAGAACCAGATGAAAGAAAGACCCTTGAAGTGCGATGGATGCGCAAAAGTGCAAGAAGAAAAGCGAAGTGAGCGCGAAGCGCGAGAGAGCGCACTAAGGTAAGCGCGAGCGTGGGAACATGAGCGCTAAGGCGCGCGTTGTGCAGAAAATACCAGATAAGGAAACAGATAAGGAAGCGGATGTGCAAAGCGAGTGCAAATGCAGAGCGAGTGTTATAATGAGCGCGGATAAAGGTCTAGTATAGGCGGATAACGATAACCATTGGAAACACAAAGTGCCCCCAAGTGGTGACTACTACTTTAAAGTAAAACCCAATAGCGAGGGAAGTACAGCAAAGGGGAGTAATCATGATGGAGTCGTAAGTCAGCAAACTTTATACTATGGAGATCGCATCGGAAGCGGAAGGGATAGGAGCAATAAGTGCTATGAATACGTAATGACATGTAATAGCACTGCAATGCTTGTTACAAACCACGAGGCAAGGGATATGACGTACCAATGAGGTGGATGGACATAGAGGGACGTTCCTGGATGATAGGCGATGCAGGGTGATGCAGGGCACTTGCAGGGCGCTTAAGCGCGAGAAAGCGCGCAAGGTGCGCATGTGGGAATGCTGCGCATTGTGCAGGAAAGTACCGCGCCTATGGCGCGTTTCGCGGGAAAGCTGCGCGTTATGTGTAAAACGACTAGAGACATGATAGAAGTCGAATATAGCTGATGGTGCAAGTCGTGCATTGAAGGCCAATTGTCATGAGTTGTGAAAAGGTGCGAAATGTGCCCATATGTGCCTGCAGAAACACGAGTCTCTACATCGGCTTACTAATAATGCCTTCCCAGACTCTGTACCAGTCAGTCATTGTATCTGCAGTGTTTTCTATTTATTGTTGACTGGGTGTACTCACTTGATAGGACCGGTACCGAGAATTGATGAGGGCATCCCGGCAATGGAGGGATTTAATGAACCGGAAATGATTTGGATTTGGGCATGATACTGAGGTAAAGCCAGGTGCTGGTGATCTGGCACTGTTTTGTGTGGCCTGTCCACAGCCTGGTATCAACATACCTATTAATTGGCAGGACAAGTATGAAAGGTAAGAATCTAATTGTATTTGGGCTTGATAGTACTCTAAGCCTGTATGTTGGCCGGATGTTCTCTATGTCCACACTATAATCTTTGGCTGGCCAGCATATGTGTTTGTGCTGGCCAGCCTTGGTACACATAATGTACCCCCAGGCCGGCCGGTTGCATCTTCAGTTTTATACAGTATCATTGACAAATTTCCAAATAGTTGGCTAGTTATGCAAAGATATGTAGTGGACGGCAACTTCACTGCTCAACATATGCACATGAAACAGCCTCATCTTGATGTCACCCTATCTGATGGCCTGGGGTATATGGTGACAGAAGCCGATTATAAGGCTCATTTGTCATCAGCTCAGGAGAGCAAAGAGGTGTGTTCTATTTCATTTGGATTATCTGTCACTTTTTGACTAGATGATACTAGAGGTCCTCTTGCAGCAATCACTGTGCAGTCAATGCAGCAAACACAAATCAAAGTAATCTTCAAGCAACTGGAGTGGCTGCTACTGCTTGTGCACGTCATGGTTGCTTTGTTCCTCACACTGTGGTAGATTTTCAGAAGGGTGAACGGTGGGTTCTATCTTGTATTAAAGATGTTCATAAGTTAATGAACTTGGTAGCCACATGAATGTCGACTACTTGATCTGCAGTGCTATCAGCTATCATTCTCATGATATTGGCACCTCTCTGATCATATATGATATAGGGTGTCAGTGGTGCATTAATTTTTCAGAACGAGTCAACAATTGCCCAGGGTTATCACTCCCTAAAAAAAGGGAGGTTCTGACAGCTGTTGGTAAATTCCATCTTAGTGCACACAAACTTCCCTGCTTTGCCAGATTTAGTCTTAACTTCATCAAGGGAGCTGGTCAAGTGGATGGAGAAATTTTAGAGACTCTTTGGGCACCTTTCAACAAAATATCACCCACTGCAAGGTCAATGAGTCAATATCATCAGCAGGAAATACTGGATGATCACATGAGGGACTCAAATTGGAAAAAATTGGTTGGGATCGGTGAGTAAGCCTAAATTTAATGTCAATGATATGTAATTAAATACATTTGACAGTCAAGACTCTCTTGAAAAAGTATAAACGTGCTGTCAAGGGAGTCAATGACACAAAGCTCCCTTTTGATGAGCTGACATGTTCTTTGGACCCCCAAAAAATTGCTTTATGGGAAAAGGATGAGAAGATTACAATGGAGCTTCGAGGAGAACATCTTGACATTTATCAGTTGAAAATTGACAAAGGTAAATTCCCTAGTATTCCTTTATCAAACCTTATGACTAATTCACATATTCCGGATTATGAAGCTCCCACAATGGCTGAGATTTGATTAAAATTAACTGAATCTGAGACTTTAGAAATAGGAAGGCCAGGATCGGTTTCTTGGATTATTCAGGGTATTAATCCAGAAGACTCTCAGTAAGTCACATCTTCAGATTTTGTGAAACATATCATCACATTCCTATCAGGGATGGATTACGATCAAATATTCGACGTTTCCCATGCAATGCCACAGCTACTCAGAAGGCTGGTCTTCAAGAGAAACGACTAAAACTAGCTGCTCAAATCATCAAATTTCACGAAACTGCAGATCAAATGACACAGGGAATAGAACTGGATTCGGGTACAGTCCATGTCGATGATTCTCGATTTTGCCAGGCAGAAGCTGAAGAACAAGCATGGGAGGTTGCGGATGAAGATGATTCAGAATTGATTGATGAAGAAATTCCAGCAGAAGATATGGGCATCTGGATGTCATCATCAGTGACCCATGACTATGCTGATATTTTCGGTTTGACCAAACTGCAGGAAGAAGAATTAGAGTTGAGAAAAGGTCAAGCTAATGATTGTCTAGAAAATATTCGCTTGGCTCTTGGCCAGAAGGCTGTCATCTATCGTCAACACTTTCGAAGTGCTAATTCTGTATGGACTGGCACAAGGTCCAAGCAGGATGCTCAAAGGTGCAGCCTCAAAATCGAGAAGTTGGTCAGAAGCTATCAAAGGATTGGCTATGGAAAGACTTGGAGTGAATATCAATACTCTGGAAAATATTTATCAAGAAATATTGCCAGAACATCTTACGGTCAATAGGGATGTGACTGAAGAGAATAGGTTTGGGCAAGGGTCTGACGAGCTGGCATGGTTTTGGAGGGTTAATGGCGCTCACAGAAGTTAACAAGATATTTGGATGAATGAATGTGAGTAGTAGTGTCTATCTAAAAAGCAGAACTAACAGCATATCAACAGTCTATAGGGTTAACTGGCTAAAGGCAAAGGCTAGGTGGAGGAGGTGGGACGAAGAGTTGAATTTGACAAGACATGAAATGGATTGGACCATAAATTGGTTTAATCATCAGAAGGGTGAATGGATTCAATGTTCAATGGAGGCTATGAAACCTGGTCATCAAGCCTATGCCTACAGACAGGTGCTATTGTGGACAATGTTTGCAGAGGATGCTAAGAATCAGTTCAAGGACCACATGTTATAGTACAATTGTCACTTTATACTGGCTAGTGTGTTTTGACATTGTGTAGAATTGTGTCGGCCCACTGGGGTCTAAGATATCAGAGGCCAGCCAGACTATATAGTGTAGGGGTGCTGCTAGCCAATGTACTACAGTTAATACTGGCCAGTCTAGATCTATGCTGTGTAGAGCCAAGTCGGCCAACATGGGTATGAAAGATAACAGGCCGGCCAGACTGAGTCTACACAATGTAGGAGGCTAGCTGGCCAGGGTACCAGGATCTTGGCCAGTCTAGATCTATGCTGTGTAGAACCAAGTCGACTGACATGGGTATGAAAGATAACAGGCTGGCCAGACTGAGTCTACACAATGTAGGAGGCTAGCTGGCCAGGGTACCAGGATCTTGGCCAGTCTAGATCTATGCTGTGTAGAGGCAAGTCGGCCAACATGGGTATGAAAGGTGACAGGCTGGCCAGACTGAGTCTATATGATATGGGCAGTCTGCTAGACAATATAACCAAGGTCTTGGCTAATGTTCTATGTTGTGTAGAGCCATGCTGGCTGACATTGGCAACTCAAGGTAGTAGAGATACATTAGAAGTTTAGTGATTTGACTACTGAGTTTCCTTACAGAGCTTCTATTGAAATCCAGCACATAATCACTCGAATCTCATGATTTTTCATGAAAGGACCAATCTACTCTATGACAATTTAAATGGAAGCTCTCCACTGAAATCAAGTGAGAAACACAAAGCCCAGAAAAACCACTTTGAAGTAGTTAAGCAGGCTGTGCTACGAATATTTAAGTATATATCCTGACCAGCCTCCATGCTACATGTCACAGAGTTATGCTGGCCATGCTAGAAATATTAAATATATATCCTGGCCAGCCTCCATGCTACATGTCACAGAGTCAAGCTGGCCATGCTAGGAATATTTAAGTATATATCCTGGCCAGCCTCCATGCTACATGTCACAGAGTCAAGCTGGCCATGCTAGGAATATTTAAATATATATCCTGGCCAGCCTCCATGCTACATGTCACATACTCAATCTAGCCATGCTAAGTATATACTTTGACCAGCCTCAATACTACATATCACAAAGTTAGGCTGGCCATGCTAGGATTATTTGAGTATATACCCTGACCAACCTCAAAGATATGTGTCACATACTCAAGCTGGCCATCCCAGAAAAATATTAAGTATATCAAGAACCATTATACTATCTAGTATAATATGTATACTGGCCAGCCTGAATGCTACATGTCACATAGTCAAGCTGGCTATGCTAGGAATATTCAAGGATATCAGGTACAATAGGCTATCTAGTATATGTATGCTAGCACAATTTAAGTATATACCTGGCCAGCCTAATGCTACATGTCACATAGTCAGGCTGGCCATGCTAGCACTATTCAAGTGTATAACCTGGCCAGCACTGGTCCCACATGTAGTCAATAATCCATCCTGGCTGTAATATACTAGCTAACACTAGTCCTAGATAGACTGGCCAGCACTGGTTTGAGGTGCACCGGCCAGTGGTTGGCTGGCATGGATTCTACAGCCTTTTGGCATGTCCAGAGCCAGGGTTCTACGTTGGAAAATGACTGAAGTATGTGGATAGCCTGTGTTGAAAACTGTGTACTGTCATGTGTACCTGAAAATAGTTAGGTGGCAGGCAACCGATGCGACAATCAACAACACACCTCTGTCCACACGATTTTTACGGGTGGCCTTAATTTTTTCTTGACCACTTGGGCGGCGGCGTGCCTCACGGCGTTCTTGGTCCTCCTCGACTAGGTACAATATAACGATACAGTTAGTGATAGAATTGGTAGTACATAAGAAATGGCATACCTTGGTACAGAGCCTTCTCTGAAGGGCGGTGGTCGCGGCATTGACGCTGAGAGGGAGCTGAATCAGTATTGTTGAGAATATTACTCAGTGCTTGGTGAGTAGGACCAGTGGAAGACATTCTGGATGGAGATTGAACATGAGGATGAGACAATCTAAATTTTATGAGTATGAGGGGGCACAGCGCACCTTTTTTCTATCATCACATCCTTTATAATGATGTGTCGCGTCTGCAGACCACGATCAACAATCAATGCGCAACAACATGCTCGCGTCAAGTCATGTACAAACTGCGATCTTGAGGGATCGCACTGATTTTGAGGAAAAAAGTTTTGATGTCCGATGGATGACAAGTCAGCCAGGTGAGACTCGATCAAACTGTCACTTACGGGTCGGCTTTTTCGGCTTGTGAACCTTGAACCTCCTGCTCGACCATACCATCATGCACCGCTGCAATTTTTGCCTCAAAGGCAACTTCCAGAGTGCAAGGGCCATTAGCCTTCATATAAGCCAGACTGCAGCCTGTAAGCAACACATGGACCAGCTGCGCAACCATGAGCAAGCCACACAAGAGGCCACACCCAACAACAACCAACCTGAAGATGTCTACTTTGATGGAGACATACCTTGGGAGTTTGATGGCAGGGGGATGTCATACCGGAAGGTCCACAAATACCGGAGCATTGTGGTGTCCAAGTCGAAGAAGTAGAAGATGAGGAAAGGATGTGGATGCAATTCGTCCAGTCATACCCAGGGCAAGTAGCGCAAACGCTTGGCTGCGCAGAGAGCATGTTCCATGACATCAGAGCCCAACAAGAGGCTCAAGGTCTAGACCCATGGGTGCCATTTGCGGACGCAGAGGAATGGGGACTTGTGAAATGGTTGGTATCCCGTGTGGGCCAAAATGCGATAGACGAGTTCATGAAACTACCAATTGTAAGTCAGTAATTCAGCCCCGATTCACAACATACTCACCAATGCACAGACCAGCCGCCTTAATACGTCGTTCACGAGCAAATACACCCTGATGAAAGCAATCGATCAGCTTCCCTGTGGAACAGAATGGCAGTTAAAGAGAATAACTGTACAGGGCAACAAACTCACCAATAACGGGCAGTGCGAAACCAAAGACCTTGAGCTGTGGCTGTGGGACCCAGTAGACTGCATCCACGAGCTCATGGTGAATCCTGAGTTTGATCGCATGGTGTCATATGTGCCAGAGAGAGTGTTTGCAGACGTGGAGGGCAAGACAAGACGGTATGATGAAATGTGGACAGGTGACTGGTGGTGGGAGATGCAGGTAAGTGCGTGCGTCTACATGCGGGCGTCTACATGTTGTGACAAAACGCACTAAAGCCGTTCCCACAGGGAAGATTGCCTCAAGGGGCAGTTGTTGCACCGGTGATCCTAGCGTCTGATGAGACTTCACTGTCACAGTTCCGGGGAGACCAAGAGGTTTGGCCCATCTACCTGAGCCTCGGGAACATATCAAAAGATATCCGATGTCAGCCATCCAAACACACCACAATCCTCATCGCATACTTACCAATCTCGAAGTTAGAATGCTTCATGTGAGATACACGTTCGGTCAAACGTTACCGTCTCTTCCATTATTGCATGTCACAGGTCCTGGAGCCATTGGTCAGGGCAGGTATGGATGGAGTCGATGTCACCTGCCCTGATCGTCAAGTAAGGCGGATGTATCCTGTCGTGGCAGCATATATTGCTGATTTTCCGGAGCAGTGCTTGGTGGCGTGCTGCATGGAAAACAGGTGCCCAAAGTGTGTTGTGGGCCGCAACGAGCGTGGGGATATGAGGACGTCGCCAATGTGCAATCGAGACTCCACGGTCGAAAGCCTGCACTTGCACCGTGATGGTGAAATGGGGAATGATCAGTTTGAAGGAGAACTAGGACTACGAGCCATCTACTCACCGTTCTGGGCGACACTCCCACACAACGACATCTTCTCATGTATCACCCCCGACATTTTACATCAGCTGCACAAAGGAGTTTTTAAGGATCACATTGTTAGCTGGTGCTCCGATATCATAGGCGAGGAAGAACTTGATGCACGGTTCAAGGCGATGACGTCATATTCAGGACTCCGACACTTCAAAAAAGGCATCTCCAAGCGTAAACAATGGACGGGGGCAGACTACCGAGAGCTGCAGCGTGTCTTTCTCGGTGTGATTGCTGGCGCGGTTGACCATAAAGTTCTGACAGCAGTGCGTGGCGTATTAGATTTTATTTACTATGCGCAGTATCAGACGCACACAGAAGACACACTTGCCCATATGCACGCTGCCCTCGCCTCATTCCATGCTAATAAGAACGTCTTCATCGACCTCAGGGTGCGGGAACACTTCAACATACCGAAAATTCACTCGATGATGCATTACATCGACACCATTCGCGTTCTCGGCAGTGCGGACGGTTTCAATACTGAACTTCCTGAAAGGCTGCACATTGATTTTGCCAAGCGGGCATACCATGCATCGAATCGCCGCGACTATGTCATCCAAATGACTACCTGGCTACGGCGACAAGAGTCCATCCACATCCAAGATGCCTACCTTCGATGGTGGGGTTCCCAGCACCCTGTCAATCAAGGTTCAAACTCGCTGGAGCAAGACTCGGATACCAGCGGCTCTGATTCGGATTCGGATGGCACAGGACCTGGACAATTTCGTATTGACTTGCCTTGTCAGGTACAACGGTTCACAATGGTGACAGGTTCACGCGGCTACTTTGTCCCCAGGACATGTCCCTTTCCGAATTCGACGATCCAGCGCTTGCTTAACGAGCATGGTGCTTCACTTTTCATTCCGTCTCTTGAAGCATTTCTTCGCATCCATGTACCGAGTTGGTCGCACCGAAAACTCACACCACAAGACCGGGTCGACGTCTACAAATACCTCAAGATTCTCTCTCCAGCACGACCCCATATCAACAACAGAAAGTGTCTGTTCAAGGTCCGTGCATCACCAGTGATTCCTGCGACGGATGTGAGGAGACCATCAGCGCCTGCACACTTTGACAGTGTGCTGGTGATTGAAGATGAGAATGAGTACAGCGGTGAAGGTATATCCGGTGAGCATCGTAAATTGGTTGTGGGCTTGCCAGTGCTCTGACCTGTGACTTAGGTCTTAGAGTGGGTGAAGTAAGGGTCGTTTTCAAGCTTCCATCATGTCTCAGGAATTTTCCTCACCCCCTGGCATACATTCATTGGTTTCGGCCGCTTCAAAGCTTTGATGAGATTTTACACAGCTTCCGCCTCACTAGCTCTTCACGTCAGCGTAGTCCTAACGCACTAGTGGTACCAGTTCATCAAGTTCTTCGCCCATGCCATCTTATTCCTCGGGTTGGTCAAGAGTCGGAGGTGCGAGGAGAATTTTATCTTAATAGGTACATCGATTTGGAGTTGTTCGAGCACTTGTCCGAATCCGAGAGGCTATGATACCATTGATATTAACCATAGGGTGCCATATTGACTATGAGTTGCCGGACAAACCACATAGCTACTATTGGCATCATGGCACGCTACAGTGTGGTATTTAGTGCTATGGATGGTCTATAGATGCTCTGTTGTGCTATCAAGGCTATGTAGCGATATATACTCTTGCAGTGTGCAACTTGTGTCCGACCTTTTTCCTGATGCACTCCTTTCCCGTTTGGAATCGCAGAGTTGAAGATCATAAAACTGCGAATATGTCACTTGTCTGGACAGTCTGCTATTGTTGCATTGGAGTCAGGGATTACTGGCTCGCCCGGGCCGCGGCTACGATGTCATGACGGATGCTTAGTGCAAACCGCACGTAGTTTCATCAATCAAATGGCAGTAACTGAAGATACTAATCTTATATTCTGGACACTGTACGTACCTGTAGTAGTGCAATATCCACATGTACAATAAACAGAATAAATATTTCATCGTCACAAAAGAATCACATACGCTAGACCTGGTTCAGGGGTTCGTAGCCTCTCCGACTGGAGCCCATACCCATTCGCATGCTAAGCTTGCCAAGCAGACTCTTACTCCTGCTGCTGCTGGGGCCTTCGTGATTGTGCTCAGGGTCGCCCAGTTCCGCTTCCTTCCGTTTCTTGGCCTCGTCGAAACCTTCCAAGGGAACATCATACACCTGGCCATAGTACTCCACGCCAAGCTCCTTGCCCATGCTCCAGAAATCCCTTCAGTTCCGTACGGCTCCAAAGTCAAACGGATTGCGTGCATGTGAGGTGAGTCCGCGTGCGGCACGTCCACGCGTGAACCGGTCGAGACCGAGTAGAGGAATATTACCATTATACATATCACTGATTGAGATCCATCATGTGATGCTTGCTCTCTCTGCAGTAGACAGTGAACTCCAGCAAGGTGTCGTTTCTCACATAGATGAGTCTGGAGGCAGCCACGTACTGAATATTTAACTGTTAAATTCCTACACATACTTATATTGTACAACACGGGATTGCTCGATTCCTACACTTGACCCTTGCATGGTTGCACCTTACGCTAATTTGATTACTACCTTTCCGACATGCTTCTGGCTCTCGAGGTACGCATAAGCATCAGTAGCCTCCTCGAAGGGAAACACTTTGTCTATGACTGGACAGATTTTGCGCGCTGTAAGGAGTCGATTCATGTCCTCAAACCTGAGTCGCCGATCAGTACGATAGAGACACGGAAATTAAACCATACTGTTTGACAGAGCCAACCAAAATTCCGCGGAAGTTGATTGCTTTCATGATCGCAAGGCCTACGGGAATACCGTTATCGCCCTGCATAAATAAGTAGAGTTAATGGTATCGATAAAGATACAGATAAAGCTTACCCCGGACACGACGCCGATGATATGAATCCATCCAGCATGGCGTACGGCATTGATACATCTCAGTATGGTATTGGGCCCTCCCACCTGTATCGCACTTGATTAAGTTCACCACAATCGTGTATTTTTAGGGACTGACTTCGATGATGTGGTCAACGCCACGGCCGCCGGTCTAAATATATTAGGCGCGCAAGTGAAAGCCTCAAAATTAAACATACAATATTCAAAACTTCTTCGTCCCATTTAACGTTCTTCTTGTAGTTGATGATGTGCTGCACACCCAATTTCTTCGCGACTTGTAATTTTTCATCAGAAGATGATGTGACGATGACGGTCGCACCAGAAGCAAGGGCTAATTGAGCGCCGAAGCTAATAGATCCGCTTTGGCACAAGTTAATATTGCCAATAAAACTGTCACGTACATTGAAACGCCGCCGGTACCAAGAACGAGTACGTAGTCTCCGCCTTTGAGAGGGACGGGTCCAAGACAAGCGTTGTAAGCTGTCAACGCCGCGCATCTGGCGAAAGTCTGAGCACGTCAAGACAAGGTCAGATAGTAAACCTACGGAAGAGTCGACCCTTGTTCGTATGAAAGATGATCTGGGATGCGGACCAATGACTTAAATAGATATTCGCAAGCGATACGACGCTAAAATCAAAAGAACACATACGTGAACGGGGACGTTGATGTACTCCCGGAGCACGCCATCGATATGACCACCAAGTCCAGTAAGTTTGGTGTCTTCAGTGACATCGCCATGGATATGGTCCAGTGCAAAGTTTGGGCAGACACGATCTCCAACTTTCCACCCCTTGACGTCTTGCCCAAGTGCAACAATCTCGCCTGCGCCATCAGAGCAAGGAACGATGTCTCGTTTCTGTCTGTTAGATCCGTGTTGAGCGCGAATTCCAACTCAAAAAAGAATACTAACTGTGGGTAGATTCCTTTGGAGACCATCAAGTCACGAAACTGAGAGTACGTTGAATCTCTGGCAGTCGAATATTTAAATGGGGACAGACCTGCAGGGAGACGGCATGTATTTTGATGGTCACCTCGGTAGCCTTCGGCTTAGAGAGAGTCACTGATTGAAGCTTCAAGTTCTGGTGGCCATCACCCTACCTCACCGTGTTTGTGAGTCAATGTCGACCGCTGTCGGTAAGTATACAAATCACGCGTACCTGGGTGCGATATTCACGAAAACTAGTTGGGACAGACATCACTGCTTCAGCTGTGTGCGTCACGGTAGGGTAATCTGGTCACTGGTGGAAGATAAGGATATCAGTTCTGTGGCAGCCTGAGACTACCACTTACTTTATACTAGTGTAAGAATAAGGTTAATGATGCAACCAAGTGCGTGTAAGTGCATCCTATATTATAAGTGCGCTACGGTGGTACCTGCGACTGTATATATAGGTTAGTGACCGTGTTTACTTGAAGGTCACTACGACCGATGCCATTGCAACTGAACAAGCCCAACTTGAAGTTGTAGTTTTGTACACTTGGAACTAACGGTAACATATTCTAAGTTCTTCTCCAAACCATCAAGCTAAACCGCTTTCATACGATTCAGCTTATTAATAAGACCGGTAACGTGGACTTCACGTAATTTAATGCTAAATAGCGCGTTCAGGCACCTGCGAATGAATCTAAAAGCTGATGGCCGTGGGCCACGGGAAAGTTGATGACTGTGCCCGTCAACAATTGCTCGCGTTCAAAAACGGGTAATGGTGTCATATCTGAATTTGTGCCATATTTTGCAATGTACAGTGTGATATCCTGCTTTGTCACTTCCTTTGCTGCCTTTAAAGAGCCCTGACAATCGTTACATTGCACAGATACTATCTATAGAGTACGGAGCCGCCATGACGGAGCACCTCGCTTGCACGAGCGCATGAAAATCTAAGAAAATGGACAGACAGGAATGGAAAATGGACAAAACAGGAATGGAAAATACAGACGGCACGGCCCGGGAACCTTCATGCTATCCGTCGAAGTGAGTGGCCAGTCACAGTCCCCTGTTGGTGTGCTTACGTTGCTATTATAATGCTTCATAATGAATTGAACTGCCTGTTCGCGCAGTTTTCTTTCAAAGCTTACATGATTCAAGAGCAGTCGTCATTTCAGCTTATACTGGCGTGCCTTTGAGTTTGCCAATATCTGTAGGCATCTTCCGAGTGGTTGACCCCTTCACCGTCAGACGATGCATCCTGCCGTGTGTACCCGTGTCATTTATCTCAATAGTCTGATGCTCGACAAATTACAATGCAGGCATCGCCGATGATTCTTCCGAATCTACTGCAATGAACGTGTGCGCCGACTGCTTTGCGACATTACCAAAGAAAAAGGTCCCTCGATTTGCGCTCGCAAATAGCCTTGAAGCACATTTGTTTTTAGTCGTCAGATCCGGTGCAACTGTCACGACAGAAATGAATGTTGTGTCTACGGCGTCTGTGTTGCTGCCGATATCAACGGGCTCCTATGGGCATTGTGTTTGTTGGCCCTGGAAAATTCAAGTCTGATCAGTTGGGTCCCGTTTTTCCGAGTGCGTAAGGATGCATCTGGGTGTTCCTTGTGTGGTCGAAGTATTACCATCGGTTGTATTTTAACATTCACATTAAACGAGAAAACTTGAATGTCGAGCTTAAGTTATCCTGCCGAGTCCCGACGGTGCGATGCCTGGCTTGTCTGAGCGCGTACTTGAGAATCACGAGCTTGATGTTAAAAGGGTGTTTGAAGAGGATTAATTGTATTCTAAGAGTATTTATAGAGCTTGTGGTGGATGGAATGATGATCTATAGGTCCGCTGTAACAATGCTTTGAAGGTCGATGTCTCCGATCTAGAGTATGACAACAATAGACGAACATTTATATACAACTGCTGCTCTCAAAAACCTGTTTTTGGACAGTGCCACTCACTCGCTGCCTGACCTTGTGGTCCGACATCGAAGACTTCATCCAGTCAATGAATGCAACAATCCTGATCTCATTCCAGGCATATACCCACTCCTTTTCCGTTTGGAATCGGACTGTTGAAGATAATAAAACTGAATATATCACTTGTCTGGACAGTCTGCTATTGTTGCATTGGAGTCAGGGATTACTGGCTCGCCGCCGCTACGATGTCACGAAGAATGCTTAATGTATACCGCACGTAGTTTCATCAATCAAATGACAGTAACTGAAGATACTAATACTAATATTCTGGACATTGTACGTACCTGTAGCAGTGCAACATCCACATGTACAATAAACAGAATAAATATTTCATCGTCGCAAAAGAATCACATACGCTAGACCTGATTCAGGGGTTCGTAGCCTCTCCGACTGGAGCCCATACCCATTCGCATGCTAAGCTTGCCAAGCAGACTCTTACTCCTGCTGCTGCTGGGGCCTTCGTGATCGTGCTCAAGGTCGCCCCGTTCCGCTTCCTTCCGTTTCTTGGCCTCGTCGAAACCTTCCAAGGGAACATCATACACCTGGCCATACTCCACGCCAAGCTCCTTGCCCATACTCCAGAAATCCCTGCAGTTCCGTACAGCTCCAAAGTCAAATGGATTGCGTGCATGTGAGGTGAGTCCGCGTGCGGCACGTCCACGCGTGAACCGGTCGAGGCCGAGGAGGTTGAGCAAGAAGGCGGTACATGTTCCGGGTGCAGTGAGGGTCCCGCAGAAAGTATGGTTATGTGCCTGTTTGTGGGCACCACCCTCTGCTTCGCTGTCGGTGTCGCTATTCTGCTGGTGAGCGGCATGGTGGTGCCGATGTCCCATCTGAATACCGCCGCCTCCACTGCCGGCAGCGAGGGAGCCGCGACCGCCCATGAAGCCGAAACGCCCGAGGTTGGAGACCTCGAACGTTGTTAGCTGTCTAGTCACTTGCCAATACTGTGTCACGAGAAGCACAGAAGTCCACGTCAGTTGCAGTGCTGACCACAGCGAGACACAAAGAAGGAATGCATCCTTCAAGGCTGGCTCGCAGAGGATTATGGAACAGTCGACAGATTCGGGCAATGATATCGACAAGAAATCTGTTATTACTCAGTAGACTCTTCAGAAAGATGATGATCGAGAACATACATTCATAAACAAGGTAGTCAAATAACACGATGTCGATGACTAGTGTCGAGACAAAGAGTAAGAACTGCCTGTGGTTATTTGCCCCGACTACAAACTGCATCAGAATCGGAGTGCCAGTATTCGAAGAACTTAGCTTACCACAGTTCCAGACCCATGGGCAATGGCTATGACATACGAAGTTCACTTTTGTAGCTCTCTATGAAAGGACAGGACATACTGGTCACTTCGCGCTACACATCGATCACAAATACGACAATGTTTTGACCGTAGGGGTTTCTTTGCCTGTGTAAAATGTTGACATAAGTTTGCACCTTACAAGATCGATACGCACCATGCATTGTATGCAGAATGTTTGCCCATTGAGTCTGCCCTCTGAAGCAAGGTCTTCGATGATCTGCAGTCTCCGTTACCATGTGCTGATTCATTCTAGAACGCTAATATACTCACTGCCTTCAATTCTCCGTCGTGGGCTGGTCGGGGGCAAATACCTGGGTCCAAAGTAACGGCACGGAAGAAGTTATACAAGCATAGACCGAAGATGATTGCGAAAGCCAGGTGGACAAAGGGGTGTGATTCTGTCTCTGGAATGGTGTCAGCCCACGGCTGCAAAAGTATAGCATATGACATACGCTGCACAAGTCGTGTTAACCAGCAGTAACCAACCCATAGCATCGACCCTGCGATGATGCCTGCGAAATACGGACTTTGGTTTACTGTTCCAACGTAGGTGTTCTTATTCAACAGTACCCGGGTTACGATCTGCTTGTCATGAGCTATCGCATGGTTATGGCAAGCCTGTCGCCACTTACATGATGCATGGCAAAAAACTCAGCCATGGCGAGTATAATGCCGGTATACCACGGCAGAATAGCAAGCGTTGTGAAAATAAAATATAAAAACAAGGAAGGTAAAATGAAGATGGCAATTTTAGTATTGCGCTAGAGCCGGATCAGAAGTCACGGAGAGAGATCAAAGTGAGTGAACAGACCTCGTTCAATGGTTGCGCCTTGATCACACCATGTTCCGTCAAGCCACTCTCTTCCATGGCTCTCTTCCACGCGCCTAAGCTCTTTAATTCAACAGCCATGTCTCTTGGTGTACGGCACTCGAGATCTTTTGCGTGCATGTCTGCGCCCGTTTCAATGAGGCGCCGGAGAATAACTCGATTGCCTCGGACCACAGCCCAGTGTAAGGGGGTCAGTCCAGAATCATCTTTCAAGTTAGGATTCGCGCCGTGCTTAAGCAGAAGATCCACGGACAGTGCATCGCCTTGATATGCAGCCCACATCAATGATGTATGACCTTGTAAGTCACGAGAATCGACGTTCACAGGTTGATGCAGCAAGTAAAGGAGTGGCATTACTGATGATGAATGTGTCACGAGGTGGAGGGAGTTGTAGCCTTGGGTGTCAGCGATGGTTGGATCAGCATTGTGGGATATGAGCAGTTGCACGATGTAGAGGTATCCATTACGCGCGGCCCATTGCAGAGGGGTAGCCTGTAGATCACCCCCTATTGCGTCTATTTCCGCGCCCTGTTCTATGAGATAGCGGCAGGTTGCAACCTGGGCGTTTATTGCTGCCCAGTGAAGAGGAGTGCTGCGGATATTCATGAGTGTGGCAAAGGCGTTTGTGTTAGGCTTACACATTCTGGTCATCTCTGTCTGTGACCTTGCATTTTCCTGACTCGACGAGCTCACGAATGGCACTGAGATCCCCGCGCTGTGCTGCTGAGATTATTTCTGCCTGTGTGACCGTTAGTTGGAGCCGGTAAGAGTGAACTAATATTAATTACCACAGGTTCAACTGACGGTTGAGAGTAAGATATATCGGTCGCGGTAGCTTGCTCATGAGCTACTTGAGTCGTAGGTTCGGATTTTTTGGGTTCATTCATGTCGTTCGTGCGGTCGTCGGCTGTCGTGGTGGTTTGCAAGCTCACGAGCTGAGTCCCATCCACGTGAGTTTATGACGTGACGATGTGACGTGACTACCATCAATAAACCCTACGCTCGGGTTAGGGTTCTACTACTTCTCATTCCGCTTCCATGGGCGCCACAACAGAAGCATTCCTGGTAGTTGCATCAGGGTATATCCCCTGTCTAAATGGTTCTGGGCAGATTTCTTACTTATATTTTTGAAGAGGACTTCTATTCATTAGCTGCCGCATCTTCTTGCAAAAGAAGTTGTACAAGGACCTTCAACAACTCGCCCCGCAAGACACGTTGCCAGGGTCCGCAGCGACTCCGCAATCGTCAAGTAGCGCACAACCATGGCATTCAACACTCGCGCAGACATGTTTCTCACTCTGCTTTTCTGAATGCACTATCTTGTTCTGCATGCTCATGTGCCAGGGTTTGGATTGGCTGGAACCGAGGTGCGTTATAGGTCGATTGTGCAAGCTCTCTGTAGTGACTGAGTCTGCACGGCCATGACAGAATTCGCCTCCTGAGCTGGCGAATATCACTATTCCTTCTACTGTTCACGATTCTTTTACTTGTTCCCATATCTTTCAGCCTCATCCTAACCTACCGTCCTGGTAAGATGCCATAATCCCTCCTGTCTACCCAATCGTCTTCTAACAGTCCCAGATACTCCAGGTTTTGTGCAATCTCGTGCATTGCCAATCCGTATTGCTTTTGCATTAGCACCTGTGGCACTCTTCGTATTTGGCCTTTCATATATTCCACTCCCCGCTGAGCTACTCTTGGACAGCCCTCTATCAGCAGTCACTGCACGGCTGGTCACGCTGGGAACCACGGTCCTTGGACTACTTTCCGGACTCGGTGCAGTTAGTGGTGCATGGGGCGTCATCAACTGGTCTCGGTGAGTGGACGCTCGACTAGTTGTACTACCATTCAACTTGCAAAGATCAATGCCAACGGCGTCATCGATTGCGTCTGCTGAAAACGCACTTGAGAGAGTAAAGAGCGATCTGCGGGATCGTTCTCGTGACTTGGATGACTATGTAAGCTCGAAGGTACTGTGGGCCAGCATAAGTCATCGCACTTTATCTCAAATGTTTTAGCCGCAACCAGATGGATCATGGTTGTCACGGATGTCGTTCAAACGAAATGGACGTACGTATTGTCTGTCTGTTTCTTCCGAACCTGTATTCACATTGTCGATTCTTTGTAAGAACAAGGCTCAATACAACAGGAAGTTATTGGTCTTCAAGCTCTTGAAGAGCAGATGAACCTTCGCGTTGTTGCTCTCAAACGCAACCGAGTTGCAGCAGAGTATGCAGAGTCGTTCACAGGCAAGACCATCACGTGGTCATGGGCAGTTTATTGCGTCTGCCGAGTATGTAGTGTAAGTGGTCTTCCCCTCGACTGTGAAACTCTCAGACATGTCTATCCTAGTCAGCCTTCAACATTATCTCCCCGACCGTGTCGAATTCGGGTCACTCTTCCGCATCATATGGGGATATAGTTGCGCACATCCTTGCATGGCTATTCTCTTTGCTCCCCTTTTCTGCGACGGGAGATGAAGGAAGACCACAGTTTGATACTCCATCTCTATCAAAACAAATTAGTCTTTCCCTTGTGGGCGTCATCATTTTATGTTCCCTCCGCTTGGTGCTACGTGGTGTCACGAGAGTGAGTTGTCTGTTGAACTTTAATTTCAGCTATGTACTGATGACACACAGGCATTTCATGTCACATCACGTAAAACATCAGCATCGCTGATGATATTGACACTCGCGCAACTCATGGTAATGGTGACTTAGTCTTTGACGTTTCTTGTGTGACTAAACGGGGATTTAGGGCATATATCTCCTGTCGACTCTTGTCCAGCTTCGCACAACCTTTCCACCTGCAGTATCTCCTGTGATAGACGAATCTCAAGAGCCTCAGGGTCTGTCTGATGATAGCATGAACTTGTTTGCGACGCTGCCAGAGTACTCGCTATTCGGTGGCTTGTTTGATTGGTCATTCCTGATCGGTGCGGCGGGATGCGCATTCGCTCGCTGGGCGAGAAGTTCATTTGAGGGAGAGGACTTGGATGTGTAGCCTTCGAACATTCGCAGTACATGTACTTTAAATACTCGCACTATTATTTGGTCTTGTTGAATTCCCAAGCTGGTGCAACTTACGGTAATACCTGCCTAATCCAGACGTCTGAAATATTCAAATTCTTGAACAGAACTTCAGAAGGCCCGTGCACACGTAGAATCTTTACATATAAAAGGGCTGTCTGAACAACTCGTATCCTTACCACTCTGGCCTTCTGGCTTAGATCAAGTGTAGTATCTGTTCTTAATAGTTTAACCACTATTATGAGGGCACCGCTCTCATTCATTGGTTATTAAATTTTTGCCGCCCTTGTTCCTCTGAGCTCTGCTCGCAACTTGGAAGATATGATGACCATGCCACTGCACTGTCAGCTTGTGTCGTCGGGGGATTCTTGGCTTATGCGATCTCGTCTTCTCTTTGCTATTGAGTCTACCCATGGTCCCTTGGCCATGTCTGGTCCATAGCAAACAGAATCTGATGATCATTTCTTTGGCTTATATGGAATACATATGCGTGCTGAGAATGACTGCATTTCGATAGATAGATTCTGACAAATGATTGAGACGGACATAACTCTCACAAAGCACAACTTAGAGGGTTAGATTTACCAGTAGTCGGAAGATGCGAGCACCGTGTCATTTCTTTGAATTCATTCTTTTGTCCGATGAAGGGCCACACATAATTTTAGCGAACCGGAGAAAAAGAGGTTTCAGTGCAATAACTAGGCATAGTTAAGATGGACCTCCAAAGATCTATACACCATAAAAATGTTGTCAGTAGGTTTCGAGCCAACTCCAAGAGAAACAGATTTTGACTCTGTTGTGGTAACAACTTGGCTAAGATCAGATAGGTGGTCCTCTGAGGAAACCACCCATGAAGTCAATATCAAAGTGTGTTCCGATAGAAAAAGACCTGTCATGCGGCAGGTTTTGAACCTGCGCAGTCGAAGAGAAACAGATTTCAATTCTGTTGCGGTAACTACTCAGCTAAGACGAGTTGTGATGAACATCCGACAAAAACATCCATGAGTGAATGTTGAAGTCTGTTCCGATAGGGAAAAAACTTTGTCATCGGCAGATTTCGAACCTGCACAGACGCAGTCCAAGAGACAGATTTATATTCTATTGTGTTGACCAGACCAAGTACTTTGGCCAGGGGCAAGTTTCGAACCTGCACATTCCAAGAGAAACAGATTTCGATTCTGTTGTGGTAACCACTTGGCTAAGACCAGTTAGAAGACCCTCCGACAAAACCATCCATGAGTGAATATCAAGCTGTGTTCCGATAGGGAAAAAAACATTGTCGTCGGCAGGTTTCGAACCTGCACGGACGCAGTCCAAGAGGCAGATTTATATTCTGCTGCGGTGACCAAGTACTTTGGCCAGCGGCAAGTTTCGAACCTGCACAGTCCAAGAGAAACAGATTTCTATTCTGTTGTGGTGACCACTTGGCTAAGACCAGTTAGATGAACTTCCGACAAAACCATGAGTGATGTGTTCCAAGGGAGAGAGAAAACTTATCGTCGGCAGGTTTCGAACCTGTTGTGGTAATTACTTTGGCCAGAAGTTGATATGAACCTCCCAAGAACTGTCCAGAGTGACGAGTGAAGGACAGAGCGTATGCTGGGGTTACTTCGATGAATCGAATAGAAACTATGGCAAAAAATGGCGTCGCGCTGAGCCAAGAGTTGTACGAGGAACGAGCTGTGAACGTGTCCGAAACTTTGTTCAAAGACTTGGAATAACCTGCCGTAACCGACCTCAAGGCCACGCCCGCATACCGACGATTACTCGCAAGGGTATACGCCTGCTCCTCGCCACTGTCAGTATTTCATATGAGGTTGCGTGTATGGATGATGAATGCGACAAACCGACAACTGATGTTTTGAAGGGCTTAGCGACAGATGGGTTGGGCGGTATCTCGCAATGCATATAGCCTTCAACTCACCAGAGACACAGAAGAGGAGCGGGAACGTACCAAACAACGACGCGAGGAGGCAAAGGGTTCTAACAACTCATATGATGACTCCGAAGACGATGCACATTATCGCTCTGGGGATGACGACTCTAATGATGAGTGGGAGGGTGAGGATGAGGAGATTGGGGATGATGGTCTATGAGTTTAGGGAAGACCAGCGGTGCTGGAATTCACAGACACCAACTCGGAGCGTACCAATAAGGAATTGATATCCGACATGTTACATCCTTAGCTGTCAAAAATAAAGTACACACTCAATCTGGATGTGCCTCGGCCAGACAGATGAAGCGGATGAATCCAGCCGCGATCATACATATGATGACCATGGTAGATAGCTAACATTTAATGTACCATACACAACTGCCCAATATATGCGACTCACCTTGATTGGGTTATTGGCCATCAGGATCAGGCTGGACTTCTGGACGCACTTGCGCTCGCAGGAAAGTAGATCGTTAAACCTACGGAACACTTGTACTGGCCAGGAGGAAGACTGTGCAGGGAAGTTGCCAGTGTAGCTGCGTAAGCATGCTTTGAATTGAACGCACGCTTGATCTGACCTCTCGGACTCGGAAGTATAGTGTGGGCGGGCCGCCACTGCGCCCACTATGATCCAACTATAATTCCACAATATATAATCTTATGATGACTTGGAGCGCGGCGTCCACCCGCGTGCGTCTCACGTGCGCTTACTTGACCAATTTCTACTACCACTACCATTCAGAAACCTACTAACGTTACCATCATTAGCTTCGCTCCATCACTTACAACATTGCCGAGTCCATCAGGAAAAAAACCTTTGACTACAGGGAGCTATATAGTCATTATAGTACCTGTAGTCTGGTTTGTCAAGTGTCTAATCCAACGAGCTATATAGCCGCGCCGCGAACTATATAGTGCTACAGCAACTCCTGTAGCTCGTTGTAGCAACCAACTACAGGTGCTACAGAATGCTATATGTGCTACAAATTACTACACGTTCGAGCTACAGGTAGCTACACACTGCTACTGTAGCTCCCGCAATATAGATCAGGCCACTGACCGGAAATCAACAAAACAGAATCAATTAATGTGCTATAGCGCGTGAGCATGTATACAATCATCGAGATATAGTAGCCGCCTCAATCACCACCCCCTTCTTCTTGTGCTTCTCGAGCCTCGTCTTTGTGCTCTCGAATAGCTTCATCAAAAACGTCATCTGTGAAGCTCTTGATAGTCACTGCTGCCATGAATGGATCCACACCAGCGTGCATCCTTTTTATGAATGTCAGTTTGGATGATGAACGACATAACGAAGAAAAAAATACCGAGCGACGTCGAGAAGATTGACACCAATTTTACCGAGCAGTTTGTAAGCAGCAGTCCGCTCGTCGAACCGCTGCAGGGAGTCGAGATGGAGATGGTAGACCGGGGAGTAAGCAAGCGACGAAAATTTGATGTCCTCCTTTAGTCCAGTCATCCACTCGTCGATGCAGCATTCAATCTGTCAGGCCTCAGTTGCAGTACAAGCGTCTGAATCACTGAATACACTCACTGCTGTGAGTATAAGCGCAATGGTTTGAATGGGTAAAGGATCGAAGTATTTAGCATGTACTATACCCTCAGTCAGCATCGGTTTGCGAACCACATATGATTCATCGCCTCCTGGATTAATCTGGTCTTGTATATGCCACGTTTCATTTCCCAGTCCTTTTGATCCGCCAGTCAGACGTTCACTAAGGATGGTAAAATTGAATTTAAACACGCACCTTAAAAACAAAACGTGATCCTTCCTTGAGAGACTCAGCCAGGTCACGGTTTTGCTTGATGGCGGGTATAGATCTGCTTGCACGGAAGCCAAAGAACAAGGCCGTCAGTGTGCGCATCTTTGTTTTAAGCTCCCCGCGCACTTGTGATGTGCGCCTCGTCATCTATATGCAACAGAAAATCAAGTAGGGCAAGGACACAGACACGAGACGTACCATTTTGACGAGAGAAGGAGTAAGTTGGATGGTAAGCTCTGCCATGTTACACGCCTCGCGCCAGGCATCCTTTGCTAGCTTGGTCTCAATGATCAGTGTCTCTGGAAAAGGTGCACGAGTCACGACTAGACAGCGGTAGATAGACGTGGCAGAGGTGAGCAAATCCTTGGTGACTTGGTCGAAATCGCTGGCCTTTAACCGTTGGTGTGGACCTTTATTGAAATTCATGTCAGTATCGAGGACCTCCGAGTCCTCCAGTTTGTGCTTGGTGCCGACAAAAGCTTCATCCTACTTCGTCATGATCATCGGGAGTGTTGTCCGCGCGACAATCAGACTCGTTCTCAATGTCGTCCTGGTCCATGCTATCGACGTAGTTGTTAGAATCATTGCTGTCGCTGCTGCCCTCACTGTCACTGTCGTTTGTGGACGCTGAAAAAGTGTGTTAGTTTAAGATATATACAGGATAATACATAGTACCTTTCTGTGGCTTCATATGGATCTTACTCGTGGGTTTTCGGGCCAAGACAGTTGGAGGGGTCTTGCTCACACTGTATGTGAGTGCCTGTCTTGTAGGTACACTGCGGTCCGAAAACTATTATGTAGTTGTGAGTAACATGGAGCGCCTGAACAAATAAGACACTGACCATGTTGTCTTCGTCCCTGTCAGCATCGCTGAGAAGCCCAGCAGGCTCGCTGTCGAATACCTCAGGATGTGTTCAGTATGTAGTGCGCAGTGCCTTTAAGTCATGCTTCTTCATCTTCGTTTCTAAGGCTTGTTGGCGTTCTTCTCCTCGACGAGCTTTTAAAACTGTTGAGCAGAAACATGTAAGTGAGCGCGAGCATTCATGTTGGGCTTGATATAACTTACTTCGATATGTTTCTTTTTCAGTTGGCCGACGTTGCCGACCACTTGCGGTGCGTCCCGCGGTCGACACCATCTCTGCACGTAGGCTCTCCTGGGCCTTCAAAAGTGCCGTTTTGCCTCCCTTTTTGGAGGGGGCTTTTGCGGGCATGATAGATGGTAGTCAGTAGAAATAACGACGACAGAAGGAGGGGGTATGCATGCCTTTAAAAACCCTACAGTGGCGTCGGATCAACAAACAATTTTTGAGTTTTGTTGATCGAGTTTTGTTGATCACAAGTTAAAGTTTTGAACTGACCAAGCGGTGTCAATATAATGGCATAAATAAGAGGGACGGGGATGACTTTCCTTTCAAACATACAATCGATACTCCAGCGAAATCGATACTACAGCCAAAATGAATAAATTGTAAGTGGCTGCCTTCTCCAATGCTCGCCTCACACTCACAGATGTTGTAGTTCAGCGTTCATGTCATCGAATGACTCAGACGACGTGAAGCCGAACATCTTGTTATTGAACGGAGCTGAAGAGAAACCGAACACGCTTGAAGTCAGCAAAAGGTGATACTCAACCATAAACCATGACAAACACTAACCAGTCATCAGGCCCGTACCTCCTCCAAGTCGACCATTTCACGTGGTCGTTGCTCCAGGACGGGCTAGGGAGGTACCTCATATGCCAAGGGAGGTTAAGCCTGCCCTTGATATTCAGTTTCCATTGGCACCATATCGCCAAACTCCAGGACCCATCAAAACGTCGCAGACCTACCTGCGAACACTTGTCCTAGAGCGCTGGGATGCAGAGATTAGGCTGTGTGATGAGTCATGCAGAGCGCAGCTCTCAGAGCACATACAAGGTCCTGTTGCTCACCAAAATTTGGTGCGGGAGATGATAACGGTGCGATGGAATGCTGAAAAAAAGCGGTGTGAGGAGTCACGCAAGGTTCAACTGTTGGAGCTCTTACTTGTGGCTCATGGCATTACTACCCTAGCTTAGTTGTCAGTTAGTTTTAGTCAAGTGTCATTCAGAATAAGGGTGCACCGTGTGGATCGCCTTTATTTTCAATGATGTTCGGGTCAATCTCCATATTATGAACTGCGTCCGTGACAGTAGTTGGTCACATCGCTGCAAACGACTTTCGTGTTAGTCACAATTAGGGCCGGTATGAGGAACTCACTTGAGGGTCGGCCTGGTCTAGACTCAAACTGGGCGCAGCAGTAACCAGGCGCTGCGCCACAACTAGATCCAGGCACCAATGAGGCGAGTACCATAGAAATTAGAAGACGCTTACATGTATGCCAGTCGAATGGCAGTAGCACTTCAAGGTCATGAAACTTTGAATATAGTCCGATCTTGGTCTCCGCGAGTCCAAGAAGGAGGACCTTCTGGAACGTGGTTTGTGTATGCCAGTCGAATGGCGGTAGGTCTTGGAACTTTGAGTATGGTGGTAGGTCATGAAACTTCGAATATAGTCCGATTTTGGTCTCCGCAAGTCTAAGAAGGAGTCGACCTTCTGGAACGCGGTTTGAGCCTGGACAGGATAGCGTTAGCGTGTTTTTTTTTCCATTTTTTGTGGCGTCAACATACTTAGGGCCGGCACAACACGACTTAACACGAGTTTCATGTCAATCGCACCGTCAATCACACCGGACAACCCAGCATGCCCCACTGTGTATTCTGTGGGAAGGTAACGACTACACCCGAGGGTCTCAAGAGACACATTGTAGGGCATCCTGAATGTCGAACACAGTATGAATCAATGATCGAAGAAGTAGAGGCAGAGAACTTAGACGACGCACCAGATGTTGACTTCCCCCATCAAGATGCAGCTCCAGACCGTGTTCACCCGCGCCCGTCTCCAGATCCAGACGATAAGCCAGCGCTCAGCAAGACTTGTCGTGTTAGAGTCGAGGAAGTCGAAGATGAAGAAAGGATGTCGTTCACCAACAACGGCTGATATTTTGAACATCGGACGGATGCTGGCTGGGCACTGCATGAGGGGGAGACGAGTTTTGAAAAATATAGAACATACCAAGAGGAAGAGGGTGAGGATCCATGGTCGCCTTTTGAGGACAAGTAAGTGCTTGAATGCGCCGGCAAAGCATCCACTTAATAGATATCACTCACCAGGGAAGAGTGGGATCTGGCCCACTGGCTCGTCAAGAACCTTGGTCAGACGCGGACCGAAGAATTCCTGAAACTGCCCATAGTAAGTTTGAAAGTGTTGATCAAACATTGATCAAAATTTGAACTTACAATATTGATACCCTAACCAGACACAAAACCGCAGCAAACTTTCGTTTCATAACAACCGCTCGTTCTTGCAGCGCGTGGACAAACTTCCACGCGGCCCAGGATGGAGTTGTAAGAAGGTGACTGTGCGTGGAAACGTCGAGGATGAGAAAGGCGAGATGTTGCAAGAAGAGGTTGAATTGTGGAGCCGGGACCCTGTAGAATGTGTGAAAGAGCTCATTGGCAATCCTGCCTTCAAAGAACATATGGCGTACTCACCTGCAAAAGCATATGCAGACCGTGTGGGGCAACATAGAGTCATCGACGAGATGTGGACAGCAGACTGGTGGGGTGAGAAACAGGTAAGACTATTTGAGAGGGAGCGACAAAGTAACGGACTGACCTCGCACTGCAGGTGTACGAGTAGCCCAAGTTCGCGCTATTTTCACCCTACCTCGCCAGTTCGGTGCATATCCCAGAGCCCTCGCTTATGTCGAGTGGTTCACACCTTTCAAACCACCTGACCCTTCCTCTCGAATGCGACAGGTCTCGCGCTCAACCCGCCAACTTCGGCGCAATGCTGCTGTAGTCCACATTGACGAAATTGTGCGGCCGTGCCATTTAATACCGAGGATGGGACAGTCAGTAGATTTGAGGTTGAGAAGCGGGAATGCATACGAGGTGGCGAACGATTTTTATTTCAACGAGTTCATTGATGGCGAAATGTTTTGCGCATGTGTTATAAAGTAATTAGCTACAACGACGTGTCTAATACATACTACGGTTGCCTAGCCTAGCCAGTGTAGCCTGTAGCCCTGTAGCACCCCCCAACCATATAGCCGCCTGTAGCATGGCTTAAGACTATATAGCGCTATATAGGTCACTGTAGCATAAGCCGTGCCTACATAGTGCTACTGTGCCTAAAAAGCGCTATATAGCTGTCACCCGAGCTACGGCATTTTGGGTTTTTTCCTGATGTCCTCGTGCTCACGAAATAAAACTCCACTTTACTTCATTTGGTTGCGAGCACATCATCAATTCCTTATAAGCTGACCCTTTCATCTGCGTCATCTTGCTGTTTGAACACCGCAGCTCCAAAACATGTCGACGTCATTTACGCACAACGAAAAATATAAATTCTGAGTCGTTCTTCATCAGTTTGCCCACGCATCATTTGTGTTTTACGACTTGATCTATTATGCCCGGTTCATCCATGAATCCGTCTTGATGATATTTCACACAGTCGTATACTACAGTGCTGACACTGTAAAAGAAGATGATCAGCTCATAGCAGATCACCCTGAAGCGACACCTGATTTTCTCGCAATTCTCTCACAAAATGGAATTCCAAAGCACGAACTTTATCTCAAGCAGGGCTGTATTTGCTCACTTAGGCGCAATATGTCTGTTCAGAAGGAACTGGTGAAGAATGCACGCCTCATCATACAACAATTGCACCGCCGTTATGTCAAGGTTCGAGTCATCAACAACAGGACAGGTCAACTTGGAGATACTCAATACATCCCCCGCATCCACTTCGAATTCACACCCCCACGCGTAAGTTAGACTGTTCATCGTCTACAATTTCCCCTCCGTCTTGCATATGCAACGACTTTCAATGGTTGCCAAGGTCTAACCCTTGACAAGACCGTTCTCAACCTTCGCTGCGAAGTCTTCGCACACGGTCAACTGTACACAGCCCTTTCACGGATCCGTCAACGAGACGATTCACGCATCCTATTTTCAGAAGACAACCAAATGACGATTTCAATACGTCCAACGTCGTGTATAAAGAATTGTTATTAGATTTGAACTAGATCCATCCAACGAGCCGCGCAGCGGCAAGCACTTGTAACATATAATCACGACCCGGTCCAACACGAATTATCACATAACAATTTGATCCTATTGCTGTGGCCAATATAAAAGGACATAACTGACCGTTGACGCTGGTCGCATTCGCAGATGGTCACGAACACCAAGGTCATAATAGTGGGAGCTGGAATTGCTGGTCCCGTGCTTGCAGTTTTCTTGAAGACGAGAGGCCACGACCCCATCATATACGAGAGACTTCCCGGTCCAGCAGAAGGTGGGCACGTTTTCGTGTAAACAACCACGCTCCTTGTCAACCCAGTACTAAATGCTAGATACAGGCTGCAGCCCAACGGCATCCGTGTCCTATCACTCATCCCGGAGCTCGTGGAACAGATACCCGGCCATCCTCTAGATGGGCTGATTCACTGCTCCTGCTTGGATGGAGTGGAAGACATCCTCGTTGATATCGATATTCCCCAGCTATGATGCGAGAGCGATTTGGCTTCCCCCTTATCGGAGTCCGGCGCCCAGAGTTTCAACAGCTTTTGATCGACACGGCCAAGAAGTATGGCGTCGAGATCAAGTGGAGCCATCAAGCTATTGAATTCGAGCAAAGCGAGGATACAGTGAAAGTCACGTTTGCGAATGGTACCAAGGACACGGCAAGCTTTGTCGTAGGCTGTGATGGGTTGCACAGCAATACCCGGATTACACTCTTTGGGAAAGAGAAGGTAGACTTTACGGGAATGGTGCGGGTGAGCCCATTTCGGTGACGGTCCTGGTATGGAGGCTGATATTTGAGTGATTTACAAGTCGGTGGGGTGTCTCCTACGCCGCCTGTCCTTCAGAGGAGACTTTCACTGGTAAACAATTTCGGGAATGGTCGTCATATGATTGCGTATCCTATTGCAGAAGACAAGTATTCATGGGACGTAAGTGCATCTCAATTACCTTTTCAAGGTTTGATTATCCTGGCAATCAGCATCACAACTCGGGGAGCTGAGGCCAAGGAGGATTGGAGAATGCAGAACGAAGAGCAACAGAATGGAATCCGAAATGGGCCTTTCTCCGAGTCCACATGGGGGTTTGGGACTGGGGATTTGGTAAAGACTGGCCAGAAGATTGTGAAGGTAAGTTCCCTGGTGATGTGCTTGCGAATATTTGAAATGCACGCCTTCCAGTATGGTCTCTACGATCGGCCTAAACTTGAGTCATGGTTTAAGGGAAGAATTGTTCTTTTGGGCGACGCAGCTCACCCAAGCAGTCCGGTACGTAACGTCGCCATCGACTGTCACGACGCTAGTATAATCGTATTTAGCATCTGGGACAAGGTGCCAACCAAGCCTTCGAAGACATCTACCATTTTATGCGGCTCCTGAGGAAGCATAACCCATCTGCTGACCAGCTGTCGACAGAATTATTGTTGCGAGTGTTCACTGATTACCAGGATCTTCGGCTGCTGCGTACATCAGAGCTCGTAAGGGGAGCTAGACAACAAGGGGAATTACGGGTGGTCGAAGGCCTCGACGCATGTAGGGCTAGAGATGAAGCAATCCGGAAGGTATCGGATAATGATGCAGCGAGGAAGGCACGCCATGAGATGTGGTCCGGACCATTTACCGAGAACGAAATGTAGTTATTCTGTGCTAATGAAGTCTCTAGATCTTCTCACAGCCTGGACCAGGCTGTGACAAGATCTAAAGACTTCTGGAACACGACTGTCAGATTCAGAATCACCACAATATTGAAATAAATATCGATCGAAACTGGTGGTTCCAATTCAACCTACCCCGGGCTATAAGGAGTACCAGCTTGTAGTTCTTCATCAACAGCTCACTGCATAGCTATTCTTCTCTCTTCCGACGGAACCAGTGACTACTAGTGGTGTTGCCGCAAAGCTCTTTCATTCACCATGCAGCATTCCAGAAACAACCTCTCTTGCATCCCGCTTAGCGAGCTCGGGTCTACAGTCGTTGACTGTATTCCTCCCCTTCTCGAGCAACTCCAAAATCTGGAGGCGGAGGAAGCTTTCCTAAACACCAAGATCCTGTTACTACAAAAGTTGCATCGGAGATCTATGAGCATCTCTATGGACGCGACAAAAGCGCAGCCTAGCACAAGTGTCACGGTCACAGGACTAAGTAAGAGTGACGAATATACGCACCTCAGGCCTCATCAGCGGACGTGATAAGCAACGCCGAGGTAGAACTGCGTACGTGAAAATATAATAAAGTATCAACACTGAATTCATGTTCTTTGCCATCAGGCTTGCTTCGTCATATCTTTCGCCCTTTGTTATGTGATCTCACTGTCCTTCGCTGGAGATGAGCCAAGTTTCTGTCACTCGAACTAATATTATAAGGACCCGTAGAGTCAATTTCTGAGGTATCTGACATACTAGCTCCTTCAAAGCCTGTCAGCGTGTCAATAAATCACAACACGCTGACAGGCTTTGAAGGAGCTAGTATGTCAGATACCTCAGAAATTGACTCTAGTATACGGGTCCTAAATGCGACGATACTCCCAGGCGATAAATCATCAATCCGGTGGCGGCAGTACTCTGTCGAATTGCATAACGATGGGTCTGTCAAACTTTCCTTGAGCGCGTTCCTAGCGCTTAAAACTCGACCATCAGGTGCATTCTGCATTATTATGCAAAGTACGCTCAGAAACAACAAGAAAAGTGTAATGCTGATAAAGTTACTCCGGGATGTATGTATGGACATCTGCTTCGGACCTACTAGATCCCACGTCCCATGATTCTGATGAGCGGCTCGCCTGTCGTGTGGCAAAGAAAAGGTTATCATCAGAATGCCGGTGACTTTGCCTGGTGAGCACCTCACCGTAACTTAGCTAAAACAGCAAGGCTCGAAAATGATAACTATCACAGTTTAGGTCAAGATATGCAATCACTCACCCGTTTCATTCGGAGCCGAGTGCCGTGAGCAGCAATACCCGAAGGTAACTCTGCCCGATAGGTTCAAGTTCATCGTCCTGCACCAGGCAACAGTAAGTATCATGTGCAAGCAACTGACAATAGACACTATCATATAAAATCATACCAACCTCCTCCTTCGACCCTCTCAACACCTCCAGGTCAAGTACAGCAGCACACCATGAGTCTATTGAAGATCCCTTTCATTCTAGTTTCGGCCATTGGCATCCATATTTCGTTGACTTCTGCTTCTCCGTCACCGTCATCTAAAGAGAAGGTGGTGCCTTCATCGTTCGAATCCTTCGCTGGATGGTTTTTGAATCGTCGCTGTCTGGAGTTAATGAAGGTGGGTTGCTCCTAAACACCGGTCGTTGTCTTATTAATTTGTGGACAACATCACAGATTAGCGCATGGGCAGCATCATCTGCTGAAGTGGCTAACATCCTGGCCATACATATAGGTCCCTCACAGATTCCAGAAGGCATCCATGGCGCTAGAGCTGTGCGCTTTTTGCGCGTTCTTCACCCTACACCGATCACCCCCGCTTTCCTTGTCGGCTGTATCGCCGTGGCGATTGGCGGCGTGTTGAGGCTTTATTGTATCTCGACGTTAGGAAAGCTCTGGAGCTTCCACCTCAGCGTCAGAAAAGAGCACAGACTTGTGACAAGCGGGCCGTACTCGGTGGTACGCCACCCAAGCTATACTGGTCTTCTTTTCCAAATTGCCGGGGTCGCTATCATGTACGGAAGTCAAGGATCGTGGATGAGGCAGTCTGGGATCTTACAAGTGCCTTTTATTAAAGTATTAGCAGTGTCTAGCTTTTTCGTATTTACCACATTCTGCTCTTGGGTTGCCATCAGCCGACCTGCAGTGGAGGATCAGATGTTGCAGCGTGCTCTGGGAGACGAATGGGAGAATTGGGCAAAGAAAGTGAGATACCGGCTTATTCCTGGGGTTTATTGATTACACGCGTATAATAATAGATGCTCTGCGCATATCCGTTTGCTTTTGTACTGGTACCATAGTGCGGGCTTGCGGGGATCGGTGTTCTATAAAGTTGATTGTATGATGCACATCGTGCACAGGAACTGTCTGGTGGAACACTTTACTTTTGTCTGTGAAATTGCATCCACCGGTGTCAACCTGAAGCAGTGTACGATGCACACTCTGACACCGTTTGCTATTGCAATGGAGGATGTCATTTCGTATATCAAATAAAGTGTGAGGATGGTACTCGATGCTAGAAAATCAGATAAATAAAAGAGTAACAAGAACGTACGGGAAGGAGGCTTTGATGATGTAGCGAAACATCTGCTCTGTGCGGTGACCGCACAGAGCAGATGTTTCGCTAGGGCCCTATAACTCATCAGTGAACAGGTGCCAGGATTGTAGAAGAGCATACATCACATATAGTACGTAATTACAAGATCCGTCGTAATTTTCAACTTTAAAACACTCGAGTGCCAGGGTATCGCGACCGGAACAATGAAAATCAACAGGCTCCGTTGCTTTCAACATTCTGGTCGATCTTGGTTGCGTTGAGCACGCCGGTTGAAGGAGACTTGTGTCGTGGTCGTACGTGTATCATCTTTGTTTCTCTTGTCGAGCTGCTACGCCAGCATCTCACATGTCTAGATCTGAACGATCATATCTCCGAGTGAACTACTCGCGGTTTGAGATGCGAGATCTTTTGGCTGCATCCAATGCGCATGCAGACCTTTGGTTGGGAGTTGGCAGAATAACTAGAGTGATATTACTACGAGGGAAATACATTTCAGTATGGTGAGAGGTTATCATGACGTACGCTAGGTTTCCGCTTCTAACGCATGTTGTATGCAGCCATTTTTGATGATCTTTTACATAAGGGTATCGTTACTATCGTAGCCTTGCTTTTGGATGAGATTGGACGGACGAGCTTGGAAGTACTTTGGGCATGTGTTCTTCATTCTCGCGATCATTACATAATACATCGTAGTTGAAATTGGACTTGGTTTGGTTAAAGCAGGGGGCCTATTAAATTCATACTGGTGTTAGCGGGGTCTATTACAAAGGTCATGCATACGGGTGCTCCAAGGACTGTACACACAATCTGTACTGGTTTTCGTGTTTTCCGGAGTCCTTAGACTCCACATCAAGGGCGCTAATCCCCCGGACCTACCTATTTCCTCATCTGCAACCTTCACTTGGTTCGGACCATACATTTCCTTTCTTCAGCAGAGATCTAAACTTGCTGATCTGAGTCTAGCGTTGCGTGCCAAGGAAGGAGAAGTGCTGCGCTGTACTGATAGTGGACTTGGATTTGAAAGCATGGTCTCGGACGTGCGCGTGAAGCGCAACACCAGTGAGCGGTCCATGCTCGAGCGCTCATGATCGACAGGCTACTAAAGACGCGTCCGCTCGGCTTCAGCTCCCACTTTCCGATACGATCGGGTCGCACGCCAAGACTGTCCGAAGTGTGTCATAAATGTTTGTCAGACATAGTGCCGGAGCACTTTGGTAGGCGTGTATACATTAGGCCACTGCCCACATGCGTTTTGAAGCGAGTGTCATAACTCAGCGCCCTGTAACTATAAGACGAGGATATAATGCATGTTCGCGAAGATGTACCCACCATAACCCCTTTTGCATTCTGGTAGCCCCACTCAAAGATGGCTGCAGTTCAACAGACTAATCCCGGCAGCGAACTCGATGCCCTGTTCCCCTCCCCATCTTCCCCGCCGGATGTACTTTCTCCTCCGCGGTATCCTGGTGCTTCCCCAGAAGCAGTTGCAGCTTTGACATATGTTTTGAAGGATAACTATACAAAGTACCATATTTTCTCCAACTACCGGCGGTTCCATAAGTGCGTATGCGTCTTAACCAATCCGTGTCTCATGTTGCTGATTCAAGCGTCGATGAAGCCATATTACTCATCGCGCGCTGGCACTTTATGTCACGGGCGCAGGTGGATCTCTGATCGAACAGTTCTACAAACAGGACAGCGTCAACCAGCGCCCACCCATCGAGCCTCCCGAGGCTATCACCGAAGAGAACTTCATCGAACATCTGGGAGATGACAAGTGGGTTTGGAATTGATACTTGCAAAACCCCGCTCAAACAATTTCTTGTCAGGTTTTACGCCGCATACAAAACCTTCAGCAAGATTATCGAGGAAAGGGGTGTCAGCGCTACGCTAGAGGAATACATCTTCTCAAAGAAGTACAACTTTGTTGAGGGACGAGATGCATCTGCCCAGCCGGTGATGTTGGCCCGCTTCCTTGGGGGCTTGTTCCACGCCTTCATCCATGTAGGATATGGCGCAGAATTTGGTATCCCAGGCATGGTTGTTGAAGGTGAGCAACGTGACACATCATTGTAAACAGGTCCCTGACAGGCATCTCAAGGTCTTGCATTGGCCAGCGTGCATGAATATGAGTTCTTGCCGTCATATCTTTTCGAGCCTAGCGACACGACTGCAGTGGACGAGGTAACAATTCGACTTGCTTCGCTCGTCCTCAACACAAAGAAATCTGTTGCGCCCCTTCAGCTCGAACAATCCCCAAGAAATCATGCATTCTCCATTCTTGCCAAGATCATGCAAGATTCGAAATTCGCACCGAAGGAAATCAAGAAGCACTTCAAAGATTTTGACGGCCTGATGTCTGAGCATGGTGATACTATATGGCGCTACGCTGAACAATGGACGATCGACCCGTCACAGCCAGGCGAAATCGAACGCAAGATGGAAGAATGTATTTGGATGAGCACTATCCTCTACGCTATTGGCGGATGGAGCAAAGACAGAGGCTTAAGAGCAGATTTTTTCTTGTAAGTGGTGTCAACCAGATCATTCGTGAAAATATACTGATTTTTGGGACGCTCCAGCATGCATCTTGTCACTTCAAGTCTCTTCCTTCCATCCCTGTTGCCTTACCTGCCGCAAGACCCGCAAGTTCTTTTACTTCGCGGATACTTTGCGTCGACTCTTGGATGGTGGATCGCACGCGGCTTCCCTAGACTGGACATTCAAGGCTTCCTCAGCGCAGCCTCGCATATTTCGTCAGAGATCAAGGTCGCTAACCCATTCCTTGACATCGTTCAGTCTGCGATAACGCACCCAGACAGTCATTTGTTGAAGATTCAGCGCGCATTTGCGCATTTCTCTTCACTTTATGGCGCACGGCCCAAGGGCTCCTTCGAGGGTACGGAACTGGAGGGCGCAGAAGCGTTGGATGGAACGCTCTTCCTTAGGGCCGCGAGATTGACTGAGGAGTATATGAACGAGGGCAGGAGGGCCTGGAGCCAAGAAGGGTTTCCTGTGAGGGATTAGGAGTGAGCGAGGGATTTGAGATGTATCTATTACGAGTACCACTTAGTCAATGCGATTCAATTTTGCTTTCAAATCTAATTATATTGATCGTCCGACATCGCCCAAAGCACGCAGCACATGAATCTAAAATGGGGTAACTCTCAAATGAAGAGAGGCTCAGACTAGGAAGGAGGGAGAAACTCAGTCTTCGATTGAAGTACTAAGGGGAGATGATTCCGAAGGAAGGAGAATAAAAGGTGTCGTTGAGACGGAGAACAAAATGACAAGGTGCAGGAGGAGTGATAGTGTATGTAAAAGAAAGTACGTACAGAGAACGTGTTGTGATACTCTCACCTGCATCTGGTCCAATAGTACTGCTACTCGAAGACGAACGAAGTGTGAGAGAGTAGCAATGACCACGGAAAGCCTTTCGAGGTAGAGACTTTGTGGAAATATCAGCTGTCATGGGTATGACGTCGTTGATCTCGCAGATAGATCGTGTCGCCCGAACAGATAATGATGTAACATGTTTGTACCAAAAACACGACCAAACATATCAGTGGTTATCTTATGCAAACGACTGTATCGTTTAATTACATCCTGACCTTGACAACTTATAAGAATTGACCACGTACGCCTAAATTTTGTTCATCAATGACACCACGATTCAAATATTCACGCTCCAGTGGCATGAGGACGCGTGTTTTCTCACGTGACTATGACCCTGAATGTGACAGCGGCCCATCTAACCGTTCTCACTCAAGTTGGACTCGTCCCGACAAGATGGCCCTATCGCATTATGATTTGCAATCATCGACGTCGCTATAGTATGATGTGACAGTTAGGGGATATTTTTCAACGTTGCCCAATGTCTGGAAGGTTACCTGCACATATGACGCTCAATACAGCTTTTTAAGGTGCAAATTTTGCAACCCTTGTGTAAGCACGCTGGCTTACTAGAGTTCCCATAAGTCCGCGATACTGAAACACGAGCTTTCAGTATCACTGCCTTTTGGCGTAACAGTTAAGGGACGACAGTCTTAGCTAAGTTACACCTTTCAATCCGAAGGGGTACTATCTATCTCTGGTACCCTGGTCGGTATAAATGGGGGTAACTGAGGGTGATATACCGGGGTTTATGCTATTCACTATGTGCCACGTCCAAAGACTTATAAAGCAAACTAACATGTCTTGGTGCCTATAATCCCTCCCATGCTCTTCACTCATATTCTTGCTTTAGGGATACCGTGCATTATTGCCCTGGTTGTCGCTTCGGGTCTGCGTCGCAGACGTGTCTACCCTTTACCTCTGCCACCTGGCCCCCGTCCGTTACCAATTTTGGGTAACGCGTTGCGATTGGATACCAAACGACCTTGGCTCACATACACTGAGTGGGGAAAGACATATGGTTGGTAGCAGACCAATGGCCTCTTTGCTAAGCTCTTAGATTCAATTTCATACCTAATCATAGGAAAAATCATTCACTCCCGTATACTCGGGCTCGACTTTATCATCATAAACTCTGAAACCATCGCGCGAGAGTTACTGGACAAGCGTTCTGCGAATTACTCTACTCGCCCCATTTTTCGCACCAACGAATTGTATGCATTGCCGGTTGTCATTCAATTTGTTCTTCATCCGCTGACAATGCAGAGCTGGACTGGCTTTCAATACTGTGCTCCTTCCATATGGCGAGACTTTACGGCGACATCGCAAGATCTTCCATCAAGTTCTCAGGGCCGAAGTCTCGGTCTCGTACCACAAGTTGTATTCTAGCCACGCAAACAATCTAGTCATCAATCTCTTGGATGCCACTAGTGACCTGCGGCAACAGACTGAAGCGTTCGTACCTCATTCAGTGGTGTCGTTGTTATGTATGGTCCGGTTGACAATCAATCCTTGTGACAGATATTCGGCACCCCTAATCATGGCCGTGACATACGGACACCTTGCTCATGGACATGAAGACCCATTTCTTGCCCTCGCACGCGAAGTCCTTCATATTGGCGAAAATATTGTTTCTCCCGACAGGGCTGCCCTGTTCACAGCCTTTCCTTTCCGTGAGTGCCTCTGTCGACAACATAATTTTGAACATTCAACGTGAGGTTGCAGTCGAAAAGTTGCCGTTGTGGTGCTTCGGTGGAGCATTTGCCCTGATGGGACGCTGTAGAGAATTATCTCAACAGCTTTTGAACGAACCCTTTGACAAAGTGAAGGCACAGATGGTATGTTTGCGCAGAGTTGTAGATGGAAATTCTCCCTGATCTGTTTGTGTGAAGGCGGATGGTACTGCTTCACACTCATTAGTCGCTGACTTCCTCAGTCAAGCTCACGACGACGCTGACGAAGACACGATGAAGGCAGTTGCGGCCACGGGGTACATAAGTAAGATTTTTTCTACCAAGACAGAATTCATCCATTGACGCGAATGCGGCATCTTAGCTGGCATGGAGACTGTGAGTCGCTACTTGAGTAGTCCTGATTCCTACATTGATGTCCCACAGACTGCATCCTCATTGCAAAAATTCCTGCTGGCTATGGTGCTCTATCCTGACGTCCAAGCCCGGGCTCGTGCAGAAATTGATCAAGTTGTGAGACATGATAAAATGCCGTGCCTCGATGATAGGGCGTCACTGCCCTACCTTGATGCCATTCTTTGCGAGGTCCAGAGATGGTATCCTTCCTTCCCCCTAGGTCAGTCTGCACAAATATAACCCTGAATGATTGACCCCTGGCACAGGAATGCCACATGCAACATCAAATGATGATGTTTATGGCGGGTACTTTATACCCAAAGGTTCGAGGTCTTATGATTCGGGGTTGCCGTTGACTCATCTGTAGTTCGATCAGGTGCGATAGTAATAGTCAATCAGTGGTATGTCACGGTGGAGTCCATGTAGCGGCGGCTTGAGCTGAGCATGGTTCAGGGCACTGTCTCAGGATGAAGACATGTTTCCCGATGCATCACGCTTCGATCCTAGTCGCCATCTAACGGTTGACGGGAAGCTGAAGGATCCTTTCGTCAACCATTTTGCCTTTGGTCATGGCAGGTAAATATTCCACACACAAAATCATTTTCAATTATTCACTGACCCTTGCAGGCGTATTTGTCCTGGTAGGCTGATTCATGGCTCATCTGGCAGTGTTGAGGATGACAAATCCCTTTGGCAGGTCGTTGGTTTGCAGAGAACAGTCTGTGGACCGCAGCTTCTGCCATACTCGCCGTTTTGCGCATCGATCATGCCAAAGACTCAAACGGGGATAGTATTGAGGTGAAGCCGCTGTTCGGCACCGGCCTGGTGATGTAATTTACCTAGTGTGTATTCAAAAACCTGCAGCTGACTCTGTGGCAGGCATCCTGAACCATTTCACTGCTCGTTTGAAAGCGTGAATACAGAGAGAGAGGGACACCTTCGAGCGATGATGAATTCGAAGTAGGCCTCGTTTGCACTTGCTGTGGTCTGTCATGTAATAGCACACGAATGTATACTACAACGGTGCAGAGTGCACTGGATGGCAAGGTTTTGCGGCCTCTGTCTGTCTCTCATGAACAAGAGAATTGCTTTCGAGTCCATTGACTCTTCAGAAATCAGATCCGTTTCCAAAATCTCGTGACCCGGCGCAACCAGGCTCCTGGCTGGACACCGTTGATCGGTTCACTGGCGCTTCCCCGTTGCAAGATGATTATTATGGAAAGCAAGAGTGATCAGCTCGAACAACAATGATCAGCTTCGATAGAAAAGGCAATTGTTTGGCCAGGGACCCCTGGTGCAACAGCTTGCAATCTAAGCCGCATAGTCCAAGTCGGATTATGTAAGCGTAATGTATTTATTTGCTGGCACACTTACCTCTTTTTTCCTTCAAGGTCAGTGGTCACTGTCAGTTTTCCAGTGCCAAGCGAGGGTTCTTGTAGTCACTTGACTAGTGTGCACAGACTTTCCTTGGTTCAAATAGCTGGCAAGCGGGTGATACTGGTCCTTTCTTTTCTGGACCCTAACCCTAACTCCCTATTATGTGTACATGTACTATGGACAGTTGATGGCGGCTGAGTGCGACAGCAACCAATTTCTTGCTTGACAGACGGATGATTATCTTGTGCCTTTGTGCCTTACAAATTTATGACATCGACAAATCATCTGAGTCCCTCTCTACTCTCCGAGTCAGCAAACTGGAACTTCTACTCATGGTTGACTCGGACAGTCTTCGACAAGCAAATCAACATAAGCCCTGCCATGAGTTTCAATTACACGTCTATTTTCAAGTTACTAACCAATAGTACCATACTACCAATAGTGCCAGCTCAAGACATTCAAGAATATGCAGAGTTTTACTTCAATATTGGGATGAATGACGTGAAAATTGTGCATCACCTCAAGGATCACTATGATGATGAGAAGTATGGGCTGAGGTAGGTTCCTTACTGAGTACTGAACTATGAGGTGAAGGGAACTGATGAGGTATATCAGTGTGGTCAGTTTCTGGCGGATGCACAACACCTAGGGCTGGAAATGTGCCAGGCAACAGAAACATACCCTGGAGTCTATTGAGCAGCATGTCAAGCAAATTTGCCAGTGCTTTCCTCACCGAGGAGCTGAATCAATCTGCAGAAACCTTTGAGAGCAGTTTGGCTTTCATGTGCCTCGGTATGTCTTACAGTTTTTCTGACTGTGCCATAGTATCTGATGATTTGCAAAAGACCTCTGATTGTGAGGCTACTGAAAATTGTTGAACCCTCTGCTGTCCAAGCCCGGCGTCGTGACTGCCTGAGGCACAGACACTTTTGGTGTGCAGGTGTCAATGATGTCTAGACACAAGACCAGCATGACAAATGGCAGCGCTTTGGCTTATTCCTTCATGTCAGCCTTGATCCGTTTACAGGCTGGATTAATTGGCTCAAAATCTGGTGGACAAACAAGAATCCTCGTCTCATTGCTCGATATTATATTGACGCTTGTAGAGATCTTGGAGGTTTGCAATGTTCCACTTTTATCAGTTCACATTAGTCTGATTGCCACCATCTACAACCTAGCTGTTCCTTTGATCACCCAAAGTGACCCTGGATCAGAGAATTTCTCTGTTGCCAATGCACAAACAATGATGTGCCACCGCCTTGATCCCAATCTGAATGGCACACTGCAGCACCGATGGATGGAGAAGCACCAAAACATCAAGCCTGAGATCTTGTGGTCCGTCTTGTGCAAAGACCTTGCACCTGGCTTTGAAAACATATTAGAAGAGGGTGTTGTGAAGGGTTTGTATGATATTCACAACACATTGCAAAAGTACATTACCTGGTGCTTCCTTCATCCTCAGATGCTCATCAATAACTTACCATTCAGCTATATCTTCCGTTGGCTTGCAATTCCATGGCTCCAAGCTGAACTAGACGCATGGGTTCATTTCAGGAACTACAATCCTCCCCGCAGGGACAAACACAAAATTCTTCCCCATGGCATACCAGCTATCATTTGTGCAAAGCCCCATAAATTTGACTCGCTTGATTTCAAGGTATGTTAAAATAGTTTTTGAATGATTGTCCACTTGATGAATATGCACCGCTCTCAAGGTTCCCATACCTGGAGACCTCATTGATGAGGTAGAAGGGATTTATACCCCTCCTGATCATCCTGTCTTTGAGCTCGTACCACCGATATTCGGGAGGCATGCCCAAGATCTCTATGGTTCACTTGGCAAGCCTCGTGTCTCATCTGAATCGTTCTGGGATGTATACCAGCTTATGCGACAACAGTTTGAGGCTCTTGAAGGTGATCGTGATTTGACAGTGGAGCTCTCACAGTCAGCGGTCCACCTTGAGGATGGTCAGGTTTTGCTAATTCCAGACCTGCAAGATCTACCTCATAACACTGGCTTGTTGGGACCTGCAGGATACCTCTACATGGGAGGCATGTTCGATCCACCAACTCGAGCTCTTCATGGAGTTTGTGACTGGGAACCACAGGGGTGTGGTTATGAGCAGAGTAGGGATGAGAGGTAAAGTAGAATTTCTTTCTATTATTTCGACTGACTCTAATGTGAAATACTAACACAGTATATATACTAAGTCTTGGTAATGTCACTTTGGTCACCCCATTTCAAGTACCTCTTAGGTTATATTATACCTATAAGGGTTTTCACCTAGGGGGTGCTTTTCGGATGGTCTGGCCGATGTGTGATAGCGCTATCGCATAAAACACCTTGCATAGCGCTACTCACTTATACGCACATTTCTCTGTCGGAACTCACTTGTCGCTAGTTGCTGATCGCTATAGCGCTACTCGTCAGTTTTTGGTCTTAGGTCGCTATAGGTTATTAGTCCTTCATGCTATTGCTACCCTTGCATATTAGAAGGGAGTTGCTTCAATAGCAGTCCTCTTGGGTCGAATACTACACTCGCGCCTATTTGGATAAGTAGCGCTAGTTTCTAACCAGCCTAGTCACTATTTCTCTTTCACACCAATATCTTGCCAGATCTCATCATCGACGTCAAGTAGAAAGATGCCCTCACGTATAATAGGGCGAGGTGGAACAGTAGAAGGGGGAACTCTCCACTGACGTATCAGAGACCGCAACTGAGTACATAGGCTGTTGTAAGTGGAGACCAATTTGAGAATCCTGGGTTCTCAGTGTTTGATAGAGTACTGGGTGCTCGTGCGAATCTTGTGTTCCGCTGAAGATACATGAGATGTGCTGAAAGTGAAGTCAAATAGCATTAACGTACCATTAATTGTTGCTCGATACAATCTCTCCAGCCTCTCCAAATCAAACTTGCGTTGACGGAGACGGTCCCGAATACAAATTTTCACTGCACGAGCATTCAAGCGGACTGTCAGATAAGTATTGTTCTTCATCTTCTCAAGATCGGCCTTTGCTTGCGTTCCAAGAGTAGCTTTACAATGCTGAAGGGTATCAGTGGTTTTGGCACATTGTGATCGAGCGTTGGAGAGCTGCAAATTAACCTCTGCAATATTAGAGACACTGCTTACATGAAGCTGCATCTCTAGCTCATGGACAGAAGTCTTGTAAGCATCCAGGGTCTTCTCCAGCGCAAGGATAGTTGTGATAACCTCCGCTGCTTTGTTCTTGGATTGCCCTGCACAATATAATTAGTAAGGCAGCGAGAGCACTACTTAAACTCTTACATGGAATGGGTCGTGTCTGGTGAGCAATTTGCGCCTTCCACTGAGCACGAAGCATATCCTCGTCGATGTCTAAGTTGAGTAAACTGTCCAGAGCCGCGTTCTTCTTCGTCTGGCAATGGATCCATCGCCGGTGAAGCCAATGCCCATAGCCTTGGATAGATTGTGTGTCCAGGTGGTGAATCTGAACATCGAGGACGAAAAGACGTTGATGGAACTACAGTAGAATTAGAAATGTGATATATGATATGTGAATGTAAACTTACTCCAGAAACCCGTAATGATGGGATGAGTTGCTTAAGTGAACTCCACAGTCATTCACAACCCTCACCGTCAGATAGCCCAAAACCCTCATGCTTCCTCGGGTGATAGACGATTTGACAGGGCCATTGGTGGCCATATGCATGGAATACCGCAATGGCGAAGGATATGTGTGATAGAGTGTTGTCGTCCAGAAGATTCCATTTTCGGCAGCTTCGTTTGAGTTGACATCCGATGTCATAGGGAAGTCCTACGGTCATCTGAGGGGGTATATGCTTGAACAGCTGGTCCAGGAGGGCGAGCGCGTAGTGTTGCTTTTCTCCTGCTGATGTGAGGTTGACAAGCCAGAGGACACGGTCATGTCTACATAGCAGGGCCATCAGGCCTGTGTCGGTAAAAAACGAGTACTTGCCTTTTGATGCTTTTCATCTGCAGCTACAAAGGATTCTCTGCATCCGTTCAGCACAGACACTGGCACATGCATCCCTTCTTCATAGTGATCCTCATCACCTTTCACTCTAGAGACCCGTACTCGACGTCTCTCTCTGCAACAACTCTGTACGAAAGCCTCCATCGCTTTGACATTGTCATCCGATAGAAAGAACGTTGGAGTTGGATTAGGAGGGTTGATACTGTCAGCACTGCGAGGATTAGTCGAACATTTTTGGGTAAAACAAGCATCTATGCAAATGATAATGTCTAGGCTTTGTCACCAATTAATCACAGTACAGTACGAGCTGAGACAGACTTACATAGAATGAAGATCTGATCCATGGTAAGTGTTTCCTCTGAAACAAAGCAGGCAATGAGAACAGAGGTATTCACTGGGCTGATCGATTGGTGGGAGACGTGCCTGGACCCTTTCAAACGTCGGTGATGAGGGTGGAAATGTGATCATGAGCCATGATGGTCAGTACTCGGTACCAGTGAAAAACATTGCCAAAACGATGACGCAAGTTATTCTGATCAACGATAAAGCATCACTGCACACATGAGAATTTGAAAAGCTAACCTTGCAGAACAATTTGTAACCCATTCCATCTGGAAAGGTTTCCACCGCATCACACCAAGCGGTTTGGTTGGGAGACTGACGTACAAAGAGCAGATGGATGAACTCTAAAATGCGCAAGTCCACTGCGAGTGAGGGAGTGACAGGAGCACATGGAAACAGACCGCGACAGAGGAGCTGGAGGGGGGCAGGGAAACAAGGGCATGCAATGATGTCGATTTCTTTCAATACTGGAGTGTACATGAGATAGATTTAGTAGAAGAGTGACAAATAACATACCGTCGAAGTGCACGCATGCAACTGTAATGCTCCGAGTCCTACATCCAGCTATGCAAACTCCAATATCTTGCTGAGGTTGTCCTGGCGTGTTGGTATAACGTAGCGCTGAAGTTCACTGAATGTAGGATAGGTATGGTAAAAGACGGGAAGGAATGACTTCTTGCGACCATCTGCGCCACTGGTTGACCCTTTTTGCGAGCTGGTGAGATGATGAGTGATAGGATCGTTGGAGAAATGGAGGGAGTCACTGAAGAGACCTTCATCCATGGTATTGTCTTGCAGTGCCGATGTTCTAGACACAGATGGTGGATGGCGGAAATTTTGCTGTGTGAGGTGTTGGCGTCTGGGCAGCACCAACAAGGGAGGCGGGGCAGGAAGATATAGATTGAGCTGTCTAGATTGATGAGGACGTCGCCATGCCGTGTTCATCCAAGGCTCACAGATGATTGTGACTGGCTGTGGAATTGAAGGGGATATTTCTTGTGCGAGGGAGGTTGATGCCTCACGACGGCGAGGCTTTGGACGATGAACGGCCATAATGAATGCTGTGGACTCGAAGTCACATGGAGGGCCACCAACGACACAAAGTCAGTTGGAGGAGCTGTCCACGGGCACGCAGTCTGGGAGAGTGCAAAGGGGAATCAATCTGAGGGAAGTTAGTACTAAAGATTTGAGCTTCTCCACCGCCGTAAGACCCTTCTTTTCGGGATCTTTGCCTTTGGGCGCAGCACCTTGTGATTGGGCTGTCAACCCGCTGCCGAGAAAGTCGCGCCAGAGCTGTGGCGAAGGGTAATTGTGTGGTGGGTCATGATCGACTCGGCCAATCCATAACGGACGACAAGCGAGCCAGGTAGCAATATAGCCTTGCAGGCGCTCCGGTAGCCTGGGACCGAGGAGAAGAGCGGGTTCAGGGAATCTGTATCCCCGATCAATCGCATAGGGCATATGCACACAGGATGGATCCTTTGTGCAAGTTTTGAGGGCATCATCCCAATGTAAGATAGATGGTGGAAGATATGGGCTTTCGGGGTCTTTCCACTTGTCCCTGGATTCACCTGACTGGGACGGTTGGGTGGGCCAAGCCTCTCTCGCATCTGATACAGTAGTTAGTAATGTAACTGATTAGAATAGGTTCACCTACAAGGTTGTTGTCGCTTATGCTTGTTCTTACTTTTTTGAGGGGCCTTGCCAGCAGCGGATGGCTGAGAGCATGGCGCAGGAGTAGAAGAACTGGGCATAGAGAAACTGCTTGTTGAAGCAGACGAAGCAACCGGCCCATCAGGATGTTTGAAAGTTGTGCCGCCATATAGGCAGCGAATGTGAAGTTGACACTGGTGGCCACCTTGACCACGATAGATGATGTCATAAGGGCGAATTTTGTTGCCCTCTGCATACATCGAGATGACGATGTCATCCGGATGTGTGATCAAGACGGGTTTGATGACCTTCATATGAGCAGGAATGTACGCCATCATACGGACATACCAGATGGGGATGCCAGCCATGTGGAGCTTGTTGCACATGTCACTGTCATGTGTGAAAGCGCCCATCCAGGCTGAGTTGACAGGGTTAGCTCCAATGCCGGAGGAGATGCGAGGTTGGGTGATGAGAACCCAATCCATAAAGGATTGAATTTCAAGGAATAGGTGTTGGGTGTCCATGACGAAGATGAGGAGATCACAAAAGGTTAGGGGATGTGTTTTGAGCCGCGAGATGCTGTGTCGAAGAGACACAACACGATTGATGATGACGTCCTTCTTACCTTGTCGATTGGCCCTCCAGTCCTGGACACGCTTGTCTGCCATTGACAGGAGCAACTCCAATCCTTCAACCTTGTTAGAAGCAAGTGTGCCTACAGGAAATGAGTTGCCTGGAATGGCCTTGAAGTCCTTTTGCTCCAGGGTGAACCATGCCCAGTGAAGCGGGTGTGGGAATGGGTAGAACTCCTTACAGGGAATACAGACAGAATTGCAGAAAATGTTGTCGTAGGCTTGAGGCCATTGAAAGCAGTTGACGACACTGAAACACCAATCGGCATGTGCTTGTACATTTTCTTCCTCGAAATGGTGGAACTGAGGAACAAAGTCCATGTTGGGCATGGTGATGACCAGATTGCCCTGGACGGCAACTGCATAGGCATCGAAAGATTGCAACCACGCTGTAGTTTGCATGCGCATAAGTAAATTGAAACATCAAGTGAGGAGCGTAACATACATGCACGAAGGGTCGGATCAGCCTTGAACATCATCAAAGCGTTGGGCATGATGAAAAACTGCAAAGTTTAGTAGGTGCGATAACAGGCACAAGGAAAACACACCTCAAGAGTTTGAATTTGTATTATGAGAGTCTAAGCGCCGTTCATTATATGTTTAGTGAGATAAAGGAAAGGGCACACTTACCAAAAAGAAGACATATCTAAAGTAACAAGTACTATAGTGCGTGAAGTACAATGAGTATCATGAGACGTTATAATGGATGAAATATATCAGAAACTCACCGATTAGACTGACAAGTGAGAAGTGAAACGATTGGCACACCTGAAAAATCAGAGAAGGTCTGCAGGAGTGTGTGGCGCACCTGAAATAACAAGATACAAAACTAAGCACACCCAAGAGGGTCTTCAACCCCACTGGCGCAGCAACGTGTGAGCGACCGGGGCGACCCTCCAGACATGAAGTCTAGGAGTGGAAGATCAGCGATGCGAAGTCAACTAATCAATGAGCGAATGGCATGAAGCCAGTTCAAAAGCGCCGGGGACCTTTGAGGGATCGATCACAGTGATGAGAATGACGAGTTCGATGAGCTTGATGAGTTTGATGTACTGAGTGACGAAGGACCGCTCAAAGTTGGGAACTGACGGTAAGGAAGGAACTGGAAAGGAACTAGGGGAAGGGAATATAGAGAAGGAAACAGACAAGAAACAAAGTTGTGGGAATTTCCCAAATTGTTCATTTGTCGAAGTTTGTGAACCTGTGGGAAAGTCCCACAACATGTCACAGTTTCATCCTGGACACGGACCACATCGATAACATTGTCACTCCATCCTCTATACTAGTATTCCCACCCTCAATTATGCTTTCCCCCACCCTCAATTATGCTTTTCCCTGCCCTTGATTGATCCTCCAACGGTTCCCGGCGCTTTTGAACTGGCTTTGTGCTGTTTGCTCATTGATTAGTTGACTTTGCGTCACTGATCTTCCACTCCTAGACTTCACGTCTGGAGAGTCGCCCTGGTCGCTCACACGTTGCTGCGCCAGTGGGGTTGAAGACCCTCTTGGGTGTGCTTAGTCTCATATCTCGTTATCAATTCACATCTCAGTAGTCAGTGTAATCCATGAGTTTTGAATATATTTCCATCATAACATCTCCTGATGCCCATCAAACTTGATTCTGGCACCCATCACTTCATGTCAACGTTTTCCAATCTCACATTGAATCAAATACGTTTATCTACAGCATCGGTGAGCCGCTTCTACACTTCATTCGCTTAGCAACATGCTCATTCAGACTTCAACACAGGATATGACTTCTATTGAAATTACCCAGTGGCTATTTGGCAATTCATTGAAGACTTCAGTCATCGCTGAGTGCATTTACTTTATTTATTCACTTGCAATAAACGCATAGACGACAACATAGGATACCTCTGTTTTTGACCTCATCCAATCAGTATTTCGAGTACCTGTGTCATAGTAGGCAGGTCTTCAAATCATCTCAGACAAACACTCTCTGTGCAACCTAACCCTGTGAGCTGAATTATGTATTTGTAAACGTTGGAGGGCTAACTGGTACTCATTAGCTCAAATTTGATCTCATAGAACATGTCGCTAACTATGGGAAGAAATTATAGAGACATACACTGTAGGTGTCACTGTGTTCAAGAATACCGAGAATGGTTTGCATTTTTCTTGTAGATTCATCTTGCCACTCACAATCGTCCCTAGCACCCGCACTACTCCCTTACGTGTCATCCTCAAGCTTGTCCATCAATGTCTAGCAATCGAGGGAGATCCGAACTCAAGCAATCGACAGGCCTGGATGTGTCTTCAACCATATGATACGGTGACCTACCACCCAAGATTCTAAAAAAACATAAGTTCTCAATATAGTTAGATTTCCTAGCTAGGTCTCTGACTTAATCGATCAATCATAATTTTTTTCTTTTAGTCACTTTTAAGGGGTCTGGCATTGTACATAGCCACTACCCCTGACCTACAGTATGGCCAAGGTCACTATTGCAATTATGGTTTCATTTTTTACCACTAACCATGTTTAGTTTCAGGGCTGTGCCCCACTACTAGTAGCGATAATTGCAACAACGCCCAGATCATTTTCAAAATATAAAGGTAATGAGTCTCAAGTTCGAGCGCATCAAATTCTACCTTCTCAAACCAATATTCTTTTCAGTTTGCTCTCCTACTTATTCTCATATTGTCTGACTTCGTGTCAGTCAAACATTGTTGAGCTAACTTCGAGTTCTCAACTTGTGTTCCACGTATCTCCACAATCATTGGAACACTATCATTTCTCTTGAAAATGCCTGCCAGTTACTACCCGCTCAGGTCATCATAGCAGGCACCCACCTCTGCCTGATCAAATCAAGGTATTTTTTCTGTCCTTAACGTCTCCAGCAGCTGACTCCTCAATCATGTCAGGACTCGCAGGAAGGCATCCGATGTGGATGATGTCGAGGCAAGTCTTCTTGTTTCAAGCTTTGTCCATTATAGTTGACTTCCCCTTATTTTAGTCCCTGGAATCTCCAAAATGGTCTCGCCCCCGCCCCCGCCATTGCGCTGGCCCCAAGAATGCTATCAGGCCATGGCGACGACCATCCAGAGGTAAGTTGTGACTGCCAGATATCATCACTGACCTCTTAGCTGTCTACTTGTACTCTACCCAAGCCTCGTCTGCTTGCACGGTCCAAGCACACCGACCCCATGACTTCATCTGCCGAAGAGGAGATTTTTGAGAGTAGTTTCACTAGGCGCTCATCAATAATTCCAAAAACTTCCCACATCGCTATCAATCAGCAATCCCGCCCGTCGCATGTGCAACTTGCTGATGGCACTTCGTTAACATGTGACGAATTTTGCCTCCTTGCAGATGAACAAGTATCTGCTGACATCCAAGAAGGCGATGTAGAATCAGGCAAGCATTTTATTATGGTGTGAACGTCCTGTTTTGACTTGTCATTTGCCAGCTCCTACACCTGTTACTGGAGAACACACCACTACTGCAAGTGAGAATCTGAATGCTATCTCTCAAAGTCAGACAAATGATCTCAATGGTAGGAATGACAATGACCACGGGACTTCAGGTGAGACATATTCAGCTCTTTCGCATTTCATAGCTCAACCAATAGTAATGTAGCTACTTGTACTGAGTCCCACGATGCAGGGTATAGCAACGAGGATCAGGGCAAGGATCCTTCAGGTCAGTCAATTCTTTCGTATTTAATAGCTTAACTAATAGTAAATGCAGGTACCTCTACCGAGTCACACTACCCAGAGGATGGCGGGAATAATGATGGCCACAAAACTTCAGGTAAGTCTTGAACATTTTTTGTATTTTATACAGTGGCTCAAAAAAGTGTCCCAATGTTTGTGGATTTTCATGTAATTGCTTCATTGTGAGTCAGGGTGTGGGAATCTGACTAAGCTATAGGGAGGTGTCAGAACACTCTGCCTCTTGGCTTTATCTCTGTTTCCTGTAGCGTAGGAATCCGATGTTATCGTGTGAAGATATGGACATTTTAATTTGATGCCTCATTGGGACACTTTTTTGACTTTGAATTTGACCAATATAATCTCTATAATTCTAGTACTTAGTGTTGCCTCCTCTTGCTCTAATCACTTCTACCACTCTTAAAAACATACTATCTATCAATTCCTAGCATTACCCATTAGTAATATTCCCTCCCTGTGCTGTAACTCTCTTCCACAGCTGAAATAGCCCCTATTGAGGATCCTGATACACCTCCTGAGTAATTTCTAGAGTTGTTCAATAGGGTTGAGGTCTAAAGACTGTACTAGCCATGATAGAACAGTAATATCATAGTTTTCAAACCATTTGGTAGCCAACTTGAAGTATACTTAAGATCATTATCTTGTCGTAAGATGGTGTCTTCTTCATCAATATTTGATTCCTGCATGCTTTTAAGCAGACACTCTGCCAAAATCGAGATGCACTGCTCTGCATCTATCCTCCCCACCACCTCATAGAGAATTCCTCCCCTAGTCCACCTCATACAACCTCATACCATCAAGCTTTCTCCTCCAAACTTGAGTGTTTTCTTGATTTCTCTTTGTCCTAGTAGTTTCTTCTGCCTTTTTCCATACATATTTCTGGTCATCTGACCCCATTCTATTGATTTTTGCCTCATCTAACCAGATAGCCCTATTCCAGTCCTCAAAGTCCAACACTGGTGCTTCAGAGCAAAGGCTAGGTCTCCTCCTTCTATAGGATGAAGATAGGAGAAGCTGTTCTTTTTAGTTATAGCTTCAAGGTTAGCTGCCTTGAGAGCATTCCTGACTATTTGAGTGGAGACTGGTGTGGATAATAGAATAAATGAATTTGATGGCTTAAGTAGTATTAGCAGCCTGCCCAGTCAAAATATAATACCCAAAAGATCTTTTGCTATATGGTATGAGCCTAAAAGGGTGATTTAATTTGATATTTTTCTTATATTGAATGGTCTTTTTGATGAATCTAGCAATAGTATCCATGCTCAGGCCAGTTTTAGTAGAAATCTGCCTGTTAGACAGATAAGAGGAGCTAAAGATGAGAATAGGGGCTATTTCAGCTGTGGAAGAGAGTTACAGCACAGTGAGGGAATATTACTAATGGGTAATGCTTGGTCAAATTCAAAGTCAAAAAAGTGTCCCAATGAGGCATCAAATTAAAATGTCCATATCTTCACACGATAACATCGGATTCCCACGCTACAGGAAACAGAGATAAAGCCAAGAGGCAGAGTGTTCTGACACCTCCTTATAGCTTAGTCAGATTCCCACACCCTGACTCACAATGAAGCAATTACATGAAAATCCACAAACATTGGGACACTTTTTTGAGCCACTGTAGCTTAACTAATATTGAATACAGCCACTTCTACTAATGGTTGCCCGCATAGGTCAGGTGGCGTCAAATCTTATGCACCTAATTGCAGTGCCAGGTGAAGAGAGCTCGCCTTCCGACAGTGACTGGGCTGTTGATGAAGAGCAGCAGAAGAAAGCACAACAAACTACTGATCATGATATTGCTGCAACTCATGGTGAAGACAACGAGGATTTCTCTGAAGCTGATCCCCCATCTCCACCATGATTGACGGCCAAGCAAAAGCAAAAGGTCAAGGTAATGGTTGAGGCCGATGAACATCACGGAAGCGAAGATGAGGACAACAAAGATTTTGTGAAGACGAAAGGAAGAATGCCCCAAGTAGGCATCTTAAAGGCGCAAGAGCTTGGGAAGAAGACATTGGAAGCTGCTAAAACACTGGGTCAAGAATATGGGAAGAGTGCGCGGACGATTCTCATCGAGGCTGGGTTGGCTATGAAGGCTACCTGCAAGGAGTCTCCGTGGAACCAACACCAGATGTGGTTTGCAGCTACCCATCCCCTGCCTAAAGGAGTATTGGGAGTTGTGTCGCCAGGTGTGTCGCTATCCTCACAATTATTCTACTCAGTCCTAATCACTTTTGCAGAGGACGTCAAGGCTTGGAAGGTCAAGCAGCGAGCTCATTACAAGCCCACCCACAGAATGACCCTCAGCACACATCGTTGTGGAAGGAGATACAGGAAAACTGGGATTGTGCTGTTGCGGGTACAACTGAGGATCTTACATCGCATTCTGCTGCAGGTCTTATGATGGGTATTCATGATGCTTTCACAAAATCAGTAAGTGTGGCATTCATCCAACCTCAATCCCAAGACTAACTACTATCAAGGCTGCATACTGGCATCGCACCCATGGCATTCACATTGCTGGTGTTGCAATATTTCCCGGTGATGAAGAGGCAGGCCATCAGGTGTCAGGGCTGTTCACCGGCTCTGACATGGTCAAAGCCCTCATCAATTCACATCCAACTTGATATTAAGCGTTGGTTAGATGAGCTCACCACAATCCTCAAGTACGTCTTTTGTTGATTCATAGGGGTCGGTGCTGAATTTACTTTCAGGTACAAAGACTTAGAAGCTGCACATGCTGAAGGCAAGACTTTCAGCTTACTCCCTGCCTCTTCCACTGCTCCAAATGGTAGCCTTTTGTGCAATGGCAAGCCTGCCAGGGATAGGAATAGAAAGGTCCCGCCCATGATGATTAGTCAGAAGTTTGGTAGGTTTCTTATTGTATTATCCTTCTAGTTTACTGACTAAATACTGGGTAGCTGAGGCCAGCCATCTGCTCAACACCTCCAATAGCAGGTGGCTGACCATGTTGGACATCCTGTATACTGAGAAGCTCTGCATTTATGACTGGCCCGCTGGTGTTCCCCCGCCCAGCCCAGATTTTGATCTAAAGGCTCTATCTGCAAGTCAACTATGTGCATTGGTAGCTCCGTATCTCAGGCTCCATCTTGGAGCGATGTACGAGGCTGAGTTAGGTCTTGACGACAACAACAACGATACCGAGGCGGAGGCAGCAAGGTGGAGGCAGCAAAGGCGAAGAAGCGCAAAGGCAAGTCCAAGAAGTCAGGTGACAAAGGAAGGAGAAGGGGTGATGGTGGAGGAGCCAAGTGTTGTCTTGCATATCAGCAGATGGCCAGAAAGTACATTTTGGCTGCTCTAAACATACATGAGTGATAAATGACTACAGGTGATATCCTTACAGTTGAGACACAGGCCACAAGCATGTGCCTCATCCCACTCGTCATCGACACTAACAGCAAGGTTGTTCGCTCCCTCCAAGACTCAGAGAAGTTCATCAAGGATCTTCTGCAAGATGACGCCCAGGACAACACTCAAGAACACACTCAAGACAACACTCCTAGACGCCACACCAAACAGGTAATCAAACAACCTGCAGTGTTAATCTAACAGTTTCGCGTCCCTTTGCGCTCCAATCAGGAAGCTTTGCACTCAACTACTGGAGCTTCGCGCTCCAATCAGGCAGCTTCGCACTCCAATCATGAAGCTTCGCGCTCTCGTCGCCATACTAACCGAGCCATCTATGATCATTTCCCGCCTTCGTTGCCACCCCAGGAAGCTCTGCGCTCAGTGTCACCCCTACTAACCGAGTCTTTGAGGAACTCCCACCTTCGTCACCACCAACACCATCTTCCCAGTTTTCGTCTCCCGCTCCTATTTCACGTGCATCAACTCCTATGTCAACCTCGGGTTATTCGCACGTCGGGGACGCGACATATCCCTCCCGCTCTCGATATGAGCATTCACACGATGGACCACGTCGACATCATGCATTTGACGATGCTATGCCAACATATAACCCAGATACTCACAAATGGACGCGGCCCCATTATGAATCTGCACAGGAGACTGAAGATCTGGAGCATGAAATGGTGGAGGAGAGGCACCGTGTCAGGGTCCATGAGAAGTGCGTTGCTATACCCAACTTTTAAACGTGTTTGCTAATTGTCACCCTATTGTATCAGTTCTCGTATACCTTTAGGCTGCGCCCAATCGCAGGCACGTGTAAGTTCTGCACCAATTGCCAGCACCTCCCGTTCTCAGCTACTATCACATTCCTCCATTGTGCCAACTTCTTGCACTGGTTCCTCACAGCGCTGCAATCATTCAACTGTCAGACCTTCGCATATCCGCCCTGCATCTCCCGATCGCCGTGCAATCATTGAAGAAGATGAATATGAGTATTACTAACTGCGCAGGCCTTGCTCACGCCCACCTTTGGTAATATCTACTAATCGTGTCATATCATGCCGTCCTTTTCTTATTTTTTTCAGATGCTTCTTATATGCTTGTCATATGCTTTTCATATGCTTTTCTTATGCTTTTTGTATGCTTTTCTCATTACTCATGATTCAAAGTTACTTATGATACATGCCTACCCTTATCCTCATCATTTCATTTGCTTGGTACTTGAAGTGAGAATTTTGTGTTTGCTCAACTCAAATTGGTGTTCGAGGATTTTAATTGATTTAATGATTTAATCTATTATCATGGTTTTCAAGTGTCAGACTCCAAATTTTGGTCCAAGTTGAGCTGCTAAATGTTGCCTGAACTGTATCACATAATCTCCTGAATCTCTTCCAACTTGTCTGACATTGCTAGTCCTCTGATCCTCGCCACACAGCTTGCCTGACCTTTGACAGACAATTAAATACATAAGCCTAAGTGCACAGGGGACTGTAATGAGTATAAATTCTGAGGGTTAGAAGGTGGAGACATTCCTAGACAGTCCTTTTTTATTCACCATGGTCCTTCCCATGTCTCTATGGCCATGTCCCATCCCCGGTGGTCATTCCCACAGGTGTCTACAGTCCTTTTTTATTCACCACGGTCCTTCCCATATGTCTCTATGGCCATGTCCCATCCCCGGTGGTCCTTCCTGATGTTTCTATGGCCATGTCCCATCCCCCGTGGTTATTCCCACATGTGTCTATGGTCCTTTTTTATTCACTGTGGTCCTTCCTGCATGTCTCTATGGCCATGTCCCATCCCCCGTGGTCATTCCCACATGTGTCTATGGTCCTTTTTTATTCACTGTGGTCCTTCCTGCATGTCTCTATAGCCATGTCCCATCCCCCATGGTCTTTCCCACATGTGTCTACAGTCCTTTTTTATTCACTGCGGTCCTTCCCGTATGTCTCTATGGCCATTTCCCATCCCCAGTGGTCTTTCCCACATGTGTCTATGGTCCTTTTTTTATTTACCGCAGTCCTTCCCATATGTCCCTATGGCCATTTCCCATCCACCATGGTCCGTCCCACATGTTTATATGGTCCTTTCTTATTTAATGTGGTCCTTCCCATATGTCTATATGCTCCTTCCCACTCACTATGGTCCTTCCCTACTATCCTTTCTTATTTACCTTGGGTCTTCCCATATCTGCCTATAGTCATTTCCCATTCACCATGGTCCCTCCCACCTGTCTCTGTGGTCCTTCCTCTAGTCACTTTTGCATTTGACACTGTGATGATTCTGTAGGCATAGGCGAGTAGCTGAGACCAGGTGTTGGTGGACAAATAGTTGATATCTGAATATTGTGATCCCCAAGTGATGATTCTGTAGGTGTAGGCGAGTAGCTGGGACCAGGCATTGGTTTGCAATCCCCAAGTGATGATTCTGTAGGCATAGGTGAGTAGCTGAGACCAGGTGTTGGTTGATATCTGAATATTGCGATCCCCAAGTGATGATTCTGTAGGTGTAGGCGAGTAGCTGAGACCAGGTGTTGGTTGATATCTGAATAGTGTGATCCCCAAGTAATTATTCTGTAGGCGTAGGCGAGTAGCTGAGACCAGGCATTGGTTGATCAAGATCTGAATAGTGCGATTTCCAAGTGATGATTCTGTAGGCATAGCAATTTTATAGACATAATGGTGTGAGGTAAATGTGTGATCGTTTTCAGAGGGGAGAGATCCTGGGCTCAGGGGGGGGGAGTGTGAATGAATGATCATTTTCAGATGGGAGAGATCATGGGCTGAGGGGGGGGGGGCGTGAATGAATGCTGATTTCGTGTTTTCTGATCCTATTTCATAGACATATCTAATAGTCATTATAGTCATTATATGACCCATTAGCTTGCATATCAGGGGCCAAGAATGCCCCAAAATTTTCATTTTTTGGCGCAGAAAATTGGGTGGTAAGAGGACCCCTGACACCCCTCCACCATGGGAAAATACCATGCATGTATGGTCCAATGTTGGCTGGTGGTCTTTCCCACACAAAAATTATTTTGACCGCTGGACCATGCCCAACATATTTTATTTTGGACCCTATGCACTTGGGGAAAGACCAACAAACATCGGCCAGACCATCCGAAAAGCACCCCCTAGGTGAAAACCCTTATAGGTATAATATAACCTAAGAGGTACTTGAAATGGGGTGACCAAAGTGGTAATGTACAGTAACCGTTTGTCCTTGATCTGCGCAGTCGCTGACAAACATCCGGCACTTCGGCTATTCTCATTTAGTCAGCGTTAGTACTTGCACTCAGATCATTACAACTATCATATGTGTCCAACACTCCCCCTCGAGCGCAACTGACTCTCATCTTCTCTCTCAGCTCTCGAACACGTGGCGCCGGCAAAGCTTTTGTAAACGCGTCGGCAATGTTCTCATCCGTGGATATGTATTGGAGGGATAGAGTTGGTTCTTGACCAGCACTCAGATAAAGTGGTATCGGATGTCAATGTGCTTGGTATGTGCATGGAACTTGTTATTTGATGCTAATGTGATTGTCCCTTGATTGTCACAGTAAATCTTGATTGGTGTCTTCATTGTCCCATTGTCATATACCATATATCCGGTTACAGATCCGATGATCTGGATCTCAGATCCGATCCAGATCCGATGAACATATCCGTCGTCCGGTCCACAGATCCGCTTTGATTCTTATTTCATTTCCTGTTCATATAACTCTAACTATCGTTCATCTCCTTTCGGTATTCCTGTACACCGGTATACCGGTTATCCTTTACTTCCGCTTTGCTTACTGATCCGCTATGCTTACTGATCCGCTACACTTACGAATCCGCTTTTACTTGTACTTCATTCCCGGTTCATGATTCGTGATCCATCCAACTTACCAATACGCTCCACTTAGACTTTGCTTATACTTTCGTACATAGCCTCGCACCTTTGCTTATTGATCATTCCGTTAGCTATCCGTAGTATATAAACCTTTGTATATGCGCTGTAGTAGATCAGTTCGAATATCATCTTAGATTGCACTCATTCCGTCTGGACTCTGAGTCCCTCCGTTATCCATCCGGACTTGAGTACGCTACTCTTGTCTACTCCGAGACTTAGGATAGATTCCTATAGTCTACATATCCGCCTCTGTCTTCGGACAGTCCTCACCCGTTAGTTTCTAGTCCGGATCCGATCCGGATTGGCCGTTACTCTATATACGCGATACTTTAGCTCTCTGAAATAAGGGGCAAGACTCGGGAAAGGGGCACAGCGCACGAGCTGAGGCCGAAGCCCTTCGGATCCGATACTACTTGAGTACGGTCTTAACAGTATATTCGAACTCATACCTTTCCGAGTTACTTAACATCTATCATGCCTCCTACCAAGACACAAACAACTCTGCACGCGGTCGGACTAACCTCCCTCCGTCGTGATCCGACACCTATAGTCAACACCTTCACCAGTTTCTCTCAGCGCCGTGTTAGCGCCCACGGAACCGCTCAAACCATATCCGAACTCCTTAATCGTCGACACCCGGAAACCCCAACACGCACTCCTGCCGTAGGACCTCCGGACGATGATGATCCCGATGATGGTGATGATGATTTCCCTGGTAATCCACCCGATGATAACGGTGGTGATCCGGATGATGATCCGGATGTTGAGGATGATGAAAATGACGGTCTAAACCCACAAGACCGCGTTATGCTTCGACTCTCAGAAGCCATCGATAACCTTGCTCGCAATAATCGTCGCGCGCCCGCATCCGAAGATTCTAGAGTCAAGGTCCGAGAACCGGATACCTTCGACGGATCCGAACCACGGAAGCTCCGTGCGTTCTTTGTCCAGTGTGAGCTTAACTTCCAGAGCAAGCCTAAGGCTTTCCGTACCGGAAGGGCTAAAGTCAACTTCGCCCAATCCTACCTTAAGGGTATGGCCCTTGAATGGTTTGAACCGGATCTCCTGTCCGATGATTCGGACGACCATCCGGATTGGATGGATGACTATTCCGTGTTCATGCTTGAACTCCAAGCCAACTTCGGGCCTCATGACCCATCCGGTGATGCAGAAATGCAGCTCGAACAGCTCCACATGCGCGATGGACAGCGCATCAACAAGTACGTTGTGGAATTCCAGCGTCTTGCTTCACAGGTTCGTGGCTGGGGCGACGGAGCCTTACGACGCCAATTCTACAACGGACTCCCGGCCCGTATCAAGGATGAAATCAGTCGCATGGGTAAACCCTCTACTCTTTCCGAATACAAAGTCCTCGCTCAGACTATCGACGCCCGATACTGGGAACGGAAGGGAGAGATCTCTCGAGAAGCTAAACCCACTTCATCCACTACCCCTAAGCAATCTGCTTCTGACCGGACGAACTCCAATACGTCCGGATCCGGAAATCACAAATCCGGAAACTCCAATGATCAGAAGTCTACAAAGCCATCCGCGTCCTCGAACTCGTCCGCTCCTAAGGTTCCGGATCTTACTTCCAAGCTGGGTAAGGACGGAAAGTTAACGTCCGAAGAGCGGCAGAGAAGGATGGACAAGAAACTCTGCTTATTCTGTGGTGGACCCGGCCATACTGCTCGGGAATGCACCAAGTCTACTTCGCGTGCTGCCAAAGGCCGCGCTGCAGTAGTCGCTCCGGAAGTCAAACCGGATGTCTCTACTGAGACAAAAAAATAGTCCGCGACTCTCCTAGCTCCGTGCAGGAAGAGGGTCGCGTTGACTCTGCCTGCACAAAGGAGTTAAGACTCAACGCTGTCGCGCTCTCGGATCCGACTTCCCTCTGTCCATATGTTTCACTTCCGTTACTTCCATCCGTATCCGAATTTCCAGCTCTTGTAGATTGTGGTTCTTCTCATTGTTTCATAGATACTGCGTTCATCCGAAAACACAAAATCCCTACATATCCGATACCTACGATTCCGCTCCGCTTGTTTGATGGTACTTGTAATAATACTATTTCCGAAGCTATAGATTTGTCCGTCCGCTTTCCGTCC